TACATTGATAGATTTTCTAATGTTGAACCATCCCTGCATTCCTGGAATGAAGCCTACTTGATCATGGTGGATGATTTTTCTGAAGTGTTCTTGAATCCGGTTTGCGAGTATTTTATTGAGTATTTTTGCATCAATGTTCATGAGGGAAATTGGTCTACAGTTCTCTTTCTTAGTTGTGTCTTTGTGTGGCTTGGGTATCAAGGTAATTGTAGCCTTGTAGAAAGAGTTTGGCAGTAAGCCTCCTGCTTCTATTGTGTGGAATATTTTGAGGAGTATTGGCATTAGCTCTTCTTTGAATTTCTGGTAGAATTCTGCACTGAAGCCATCTGGGCCTGGGCTTTTTTTGTTTGGGAGACTTTTGATGACTGCTTCTATTTCATTAGGGGTTATAGGTCTGTTTAGGTTGTTTATCTGTTCTTGATTTAGTTTTGGCGAAGTGATATCTATCCAGGAAATTGTCCATTTCCTTTAAATTTTCAAATTTTGTGAACTACAGATTTTCAAAGTATGCCCTGATGATTCTCTTGATTTCCTCAGAGTCCGTTGTTATGTCCCCTTTTTCATCCCTGATTTTGTTAATTAGCATGCTCTCTCTCTGTCTTTTGGTTAGTTTGGACAGAGGTTTGTCTATTTTGTTGATTTTCTCAAAGAACCAACTCTTTGTTTCATTGATTCTTCTCAGTGTTTTCCTGGTTTCTACTTGGTTGATTTCAGCCCTCAATTTGATTATTTCCTGGCGTCTGCTCCTCCTGGGGGAGTTTGCTTCTTTTTTGTTCTAGAACATTCAGCTGTGCTATTAATTCTCTAGTATGACGGTTCTCCAGTTTTTTCATGTGGGCACTTAGTGCTATAAACTTTCCTCTCAGCACTGCTTTCAAAGTGTCCCATAAGTTTGTGTATGTTGTGTCTTCATTCTCATTGAAATCGAGGAAGTCTTTAATTTCTTTTTTTATTTGTTCCTTTACCCAGGGATGGTGCAATTGTGCATTGTTCAATCTCCATGAGTTTGTAGGGTTTCTGCGATTTGTGTTATTGTTGAATTCTAATGTTAATGCATGGTGGTCTGATAAGATGCAGGGGGTTATTCCAATTTTTTTGTATCTGTGGAGATTTGCTATGTTTCCTATTATGTGGTTAATTTTAGAGAAGGTTCCATGTGGTGCCGAGAAGAAGGTATATCCCTTTGTATTTGGGTGGAATGTTCTATAGATGTCTGTTAAACCCAGTTGGGTCATAACTTCTATTAATTCTTTTGTTTCTTTGTTAAGTTTCTGTCTGGAGGTCCTGTCTAGCAGTGAGAGCAGAGTGTTGAAGTCTCCTACTATTAGTGTGTGAGATTTTATGTGCATTTTGAGCTTTAGTAATGTTTCTTTCACGAATGTAGGTGCCTTTGTATTTGGGGCGTAGATTTTTAAAATTGAGACTTCGTCTTGATGTATTTTTCCTTTGATGAATATGAAGTGCCCTTCTTCATCTCTTTTGATTGATTTTAATTTGAAGTCTCATTTGTTAGATATTAGGATTGCTACGCCCGCTTGTTTCTTGGGGCCGTTTGATTGCAAGATCTTTTCCCAGCCCTTTACTCTGAGATAACGTCTGTCTTTGATGTTGAGATGTGTTTCTTGTATGCCGCAGAAGGAAGGGTTCTGTCTTCGTATCCATTCTGCTAGTCTGTGTCTTTTTATAGGCAAGTTGAGGCCGTTGACATTGAGGGATATTAATGACCATTGATTGGTGATCCTTGTTTGCGCTTGATTTATTGTTAGTGAAGTTATTTTGTGTAGTTTCTCCTCCCTTTTTCTTTTGGTGTTTTGTAAAGTGGGATTATATATTGCCTGTGTCTTTGTGAATGTAGTTATCTTCCTTGGCTCTAGGTTTTCCTTCTAGCATTTTCTGTAGAGCATGGATACGTATTGTTTAAATCTGGCTTTGTCATGGAATATTTTGTTTTCTCCATCTATGGTAATTGAGAGCTTTGCTGGATATAGTAGCCTGGGCTGGCATCCTTGTTCCCTTAGCGTTTGTAGGACATCTGACCAGGATCTTCTGGCTTTCATCGTTTCCATTGAGAACTCAGGTGTAATTCGGATAGGTCTGCCTTTGTATGTTACTTGGCCTTTTTCTTTAGCTGCTCTTAATATTTTCTCTTTACTCTGTAGGTTTGATGTTTTGATTATTATATGGCGAAGTGACTTCTTTTTCTGGTCAAGCCTATTTGGTGTTCTGTAAGATTCTTGTACTTTCATAGGCATATCTTTCTTTAGGTTAGGGAAGTTTTCTTCTATGATTTTGTTGAATATGTTTTCTGTACCTTTAAGTTGAATTTCTTCACCTTCTTCTATACCTATTATTCTTAGGTTTGGCTTCTTCATGGTGTCCCATATTTCCAGGATATTTTGTTTTAAGGATTTGTTGGTTTTGAGATTTTCTTTGGTTGACGACTCTATATCCTCTAATGAGTCTTCAACACCTGAGATTCTCTCTTCTATCTCTTGTATTCTATTGGTGATACTTGCATCTGTAGTTCCAGATCGTTTACCGAGCTTTTCTATTTCCAGCATCCCTTCATTCTGTGTTTTCTTTATCGTTTCTATTTCAGCTTTCAATCCTTCAAATGTTTGAGCTGTTTCCTAAATTTTTTTTGGTTGTTTTTTTCTTGGTGCTCTTTAGATTCTTTGAGAGATTTGTTTATTTCTTGAATTTTCCCCCATTTCATGGATTTTTTGTTTGTTTTTTCTTCTATTTCTTTAAGGGATTTCCTCGTTTCTTCTTTGAGGGTCTCCATCATCTTCATGAAATAATTTTTAAGGTCTGTCTCCTCTTCTTCGTCTATGTTGTGCTTTTCGGGTCTTGCTGGTGTTGGATCCCTGGATTCTGGTGGGGTCATGTTGGTGTTTCTATTGCTGAGTGATCTCTTATTCTGTCTTCTTCTCATCTCTTCTTCCAGTGGGTGCTGGTGGGGTCTTTCCGTCTCCACTGGTCTCCTTCCTTCCTACAGCTGAAGCTGGGGATGCTGAAGCTGGACTCGCTGGGGTTGGGGTCTTTGAGGGGCTGATGTCTTTCCTGAAGTTGTACTCGCTGGGGTTGGGGTCTTGGAGGGGCTAATGTCTTTCCTGAAGCTGTACTCGCTGGGGTTGGGGTCTTGGGAGGGCTGATGTCTTTCCTGAAGCTGGACTCGTTGGGGTTGGGGTCTTGGAGGGGCTGATGTCTTTCCTGAAGCTGGACTCGCTGGGGTTGGGGTCTTGGAGGGGCTGATGTCTTTCCTGAAGCTGGACTCGCTGGGGTTGGGGTCTTGGAGGGGCTGATGTCTTTCCTGTGTGGGCGTGTCTTCTGGATGCCGGGAGTGCCCCGAAGATTGAGGGTGATGGGTGATGGGCGGGCGTTCCCTGCCGGAGACCCAATCTCACCTGAAGCTGGACTAGCTGGGGTTGGGGTCTTGGAGAGGCTGATGTCTTTCCTGTGTGGGCGGGTCTTCTGGATGCCTGGAGCGGGCCCCGAAGATCGAGGTGGATGGGTGATGGGCGGGCGGTCCCCGCCGGAGACCCAATCTCACCTGAAGCTGGGCTCGCTGGGGTTGGAGTCTTGGAGGGGCTGCGGTTTTATTTTTAACTTGCAGAATGACACCAGTTCATACCAATGTCAAACAAAGACCCCAGACCTCTAAACACATAGACCCATTTGGGTGGCTCACAAAAACCGGTGGGTAATAGTACAGATAATGTATTAAACTGCCAAGTAAGATATTTTTAAGGAGGCAAGGTTCTAATTGTAAAAGTATATTTTATTACATACATATCTCTGTATATTTTCAGAAGTTGGCCAACTTCATGTGACTCATTTCTTAACCATTTTATCTGTGGACTGAGAGTTTTTATTAGGGTTGAATTTAAAAATATTGGACTGGGAATATAGTTCAGTGGTAGGATATTTGCCTAACATGTAGGATGCTCCAGTTTCAATCCCCAGTACCCCCAATACATACATAGCTTTATTGACATATAATTTAGGTACTTCAGAATTCATTTATCTAAAGTACACAACTGCTTTTTAGTATATTCGTGGGATTGTGCATCTGTCACCCCAATTAACTTTAATCTTCTGTATGTACAAAAGAGAAAACTGGGCTGGAGAGACGGCTTGGTGGCTAAGAGCACTTGGTCTTGTAGAGAACCCAGAATCAGTTCCTAGCAACCACATGATTTGCAACCATCTATGACTTCAGTTCTAGGGAATCTAACACTCTCTTCTGACCTCTGTGGGTACCAGGCACGCACATAGTTTACATACATGTATGCAGGCAAAGTGCATATACACATAAAATAATTTTTAAGAAAGAAAGGGAAATATTTCATTCATTTATCAGATGATAGATACTTGCCATTTCTGCTTTTCAATACTTATGAATAGTGCTGTTATGAACATTTGTGAACAACTTTTCATGAGAGGGTCCAAACCTTTTTGTTGACTCTACTGCTTTTCTAGAACACATCAGTGTTATCACAGCTAATGAGGGCTCCGGTATGCCCTCCTACATAGCATCTTCTGGTCAGGTGAATGAAGTATTTGGGTTGCAGACATGGTAGCAGACAGGGCTGGAAGCTTTTCTGACCACATAGAGCTAGGAGGTTGTTCCCAGGTTCAGTGTTTTACCAACTGATTGGAAACATGAAGGCCAAGGAGACCTGAAACCCACAATTCGCAGATTGGTAAGGCCTGGTAGATTTTTTTTTTCTGTTTGGTGTTTCTTCTCTTTTAGACATTAAAACAGTTTGGTCTGGTCTTAAGGTTTCAAAAAGAGCATAAGAATTAGAAAGTTCCTTAGACATTTTCTAGTCTCATCTCCTAGTTGTATGAATGAGGCATCCGAGATAGAGAGAAGAAGAACTCCGGTGTCTCTGTGTTCTTTGTTCTCAAGTCCTTATTTGCCTCCATAGGTAAACATTAATTATATAGATTTATGAAGGGTGATGCCTTGCATTTTTGTGTCTCTTCCCTAATAGAACCCAGTCACTGGGCTGTTATCAGCCAGCCATGACCAGAAGGATGCCTGGGTACGGGACAACATCTATAGCATACTGGCTGTTTGGGGCCTGGGTATGGCCTACCGCAAGAATGCTGACCGCGATGAAGATAAAGCCAAGGCCTATGAGTTGGAACAGGTAATAATGACCAACATCATTGTCTTGTCTGCTCCGTACCTTTTCTTGAACTAGAAAACCCATGGGGAAATCGTTGTATGTGCGGAACAGTTCAGGGTGCAGTCCTTCATTTCTGCTATAGAATACTTTATGAAGACATTCAGATAGTTGACACCACACATTTATCTTTGTGTTTGAGATAAAACAATGATATCACAAATCACATTAAACATCCAAAATTCCTACCCCCAACATGTTATTATGCCTACCTGGTTATATTTCTCTCTCAGGATTGTTTATGCAAAGGTGGTACATGGCCATCCACTACATGTACCAACTCCTTACCCTGGGCACCAAATGAAAAAAATAAATAGAAGGCAAAAAAGCTGATGCATTAGAGCAGACATCCCAAAGCATGTGCTTTTCAGAGTGGTTGGTTACATCCTAAAGAATATTTATCTAGATGTTGTTGCCACTGTTTAAAACAATTCTTACACATCCTTAAAAACACCTTCCTAGTTTGCACCATTTTCCAGGAAGTGAGTCTTACTTATTCATAGTCACTCTTTAGATTTGAGCCAATTTGGCATTATTTAATTTTTGTGCCTATGTTATTTGCCATATAGCTCAATGAAGGTATTTTATTAAGGTTTCCAAAATCAGGGGAAGGATGTAACTGATATGCTATGTTCAGTTCCCCAGTACTGGGAAAATATTTTCCAAAATCCAAAGAAAATATTCTACCCTGAGTAGAGGAGATATTTTCCAAATGTTTTGAGTAGTAGTGTTTAGGTAAGGAGCACTGAACTATAAAAGTATAATCATCTTGGCATGAGAACATTTGAAGTGTATCTTTATAAAGATGGAATTTAGGGGGTGGGGACTGAACTTGGAGCCTCACACAAGTTAAGTATGCACTGTACCAAATGAATACCTAGTTATGGGATTTATCTTTAATTCATACATTCCTGGACAGTTTTCATAGCTAGTGAATGATTGGACCCAGGAAAAGTTCTTTCAGCCCAGTTGTTGCTTGTTATAGTAACCAAATGGGCATGAGTGATAAGCAGCATGAAGGAAATTTGACAACTGTGGGAAGGCTAAGAAAGGAAGCTTATCTCTGGGAGCAAAGTTTGCATTTGACCAGGGCTTGTTCAGTGTCAGGTGATGGAAATAATTCAGTTTTTGAGGTCTATAAGGTTTTAAAAATTACAAATAGCAATCACTGACTGCTCCTCTAGAAAGATGCATGGATGAGTGAATCAGTTATTTTTGGTATAATAATTTGAGTCATGTGTCAAACTCTCCCATCATACTCACACACATACACACACGCACGCATGCATGCATGCACAGTAAGGTTGATTAATAATCTGATATCAGGTATCTTGCAACTCTCTCATCACACACACACACACACAGAGTAAGGTTGATTAAAATTTCTATTCCTTTGCTGAAACCCAAACAGACCACAGTGTTTCATATTTAATGTCTTTTACTATCTGATGTGTTTCCAAATAAATGATGGGACTAGGCATAGTGGTACATACCTTTAATCCCACTATTCAGAAGGCAGAGGCAGATATATCTCTGTGAGTTTTAAGCCATCCTGGTCTACATCGTGAGTTCCAGACCATCCAGAGCTGCATAGTGATATTCTGTCTCAATAAATAAGTACTAATGGAAACATCACCTTTGATTATGGAAAATAATAACCCCTGGACATCTTCAAGTAATATTCATTTGGGGTATTTGGGGCTTGATTGACACAATCTTTCATTTGTGTGAGATTGTCTTGTACATTTGGGGATATTTAGGGACTCTGATCCTGATCATTAGGTTCCAGTAACCTTCACCTCCGTCATTGTTATGATTAGAATGCCCCTATCCCCACATTTCCAGATGCTTCCCAACTACTGGGGTTTGGCAGCATTAGTCCAAGTTGGAACACACTTATTTCTTTTTTTTTTAATTTTATTTTCCAGTTTAAATTTAGATAAGAAACAAGGTTGCTTCACAAGTCAGATCCAGGTCCCTCTCCCATTCCCTCCCTTCCTCCCGTGCCCTCCCCCCCCCCCCGTTATCCCCTCATTTCTCCAGGGAGGGTGAGGCCCTCCATGGGGGTGTGCATAGTGTGTCATTTCATATAGGGCAGGGCCTAGACCCTTCCCCAAGAGTTCAGGGTGAGAGTGCACCTCACATTGTTCTATGGGAGTCCAAAGTCCGTGTGTATACTTGGGATGGGTACAGATCTGCTGCCCAAGGCTCAATAGATTCCCTAGGCCTCCTCACTGACACCCAGATTCAGGGGGTCTTGATCAGTCCCATGCTGGCTTCCCAGGCTAATGCCTGGGATTCAAGAGTTAACCTTTGTCTGGTCAGCTGTTTCTGGGGGTTAAACCAGCCCAGTCTTAATCCCTTTGATCATCAGTCCTCCCTCTCTGTTACTGGCTTTCTTGAGTTCAGCTCAGTACTTAACCAAGGGAGTCTGCCTCTTCTAGATCAGCCACTAAATAAAGTTTCTGTTTCCCAGACTCTCTGGCCATAGGATTGTAGGCTGGCACTCCCCAGATCTATGTCTAAAATCCATATATGAGAGAGTACATGCCATGTTTCTCTTTTTGTGACTGGGTTACCTCACTCAGGATGGTTTCTTCTAGTGTCATCCATTTGCCTGCGAATCTCATGATTCCATTATTTTTTTCTGCTGAATAGTACTCCATTGTATAGATTTACCACATTTTCTCTACCCGCTCTTCAGGTGAGGGACATCTAGGTTGCTTCCACGTTCTGGCAATTACAAATAAAGCTGCCATGAACATAGTGGAACAGACATCTTTGTTGTATGAATGGGCATCTTTTGGATATATGCCTAAGAGTGGAGTTGCTGGGTCTTGTGGTAGGTTTATTCCCATTTTTCTGAGGAATCTCCACACTGATTTCCAAAGTGGCTGAACCAGTTGGCACTCCCACCGGCAATGGAGGAGTGTCCCCCTTTCACCACATCCTCTCCAGCATAAATTGTCATTGGTGTTTTTGATTTTAGCCATTCTGACAGGGGTGAGATGGTATCTGAGAGTTGTTTTGATTTGCATTTCCCGGATGGCTAAGGATGTTGAGCACTTTCTCAAGTGCCTCTCAGCCATTTTAGACTCCTCTATTGAAAACTCTCTATTTAGTTCTGCAGCCCACTTTTTAATAGGGTCCTTGGGTGTTTTGGAGACTTGCTTCTTGAGTTCTTTGTAAATTTTGGAGATCAACCCTCTGTCAGATGTGGGATTAGTGAATATTTTTTCCCATTCTGTGGGCTGCCTTTTTGTCTTGCTGACTGTGTCCTTTGCCTTACAGAAGCTTCTCAGTTTCAGTAGGTCCCATTTATTAATTGTTGATCTTACTGCCTGTGCTACTGGTGTTATGTTCAGGAAGCTGTTTCCTGTGCCAATTCGTTCAAGGGTACCACCCACTTTCTCTTCTAAGAGGTTCAGTGTGGCTGGATTTATGTTGAGGTCTTTGATCCATTTGGACTTAAGTTTTGTGCATGGCGATAGACATGGATCGATCTGCATTCTTCTACATGCCAGTCTCCAATTATGCCAGCACCATTTGTTGAAGATGCTTTCTTTATTCCATTGTATATTTTTAGCTTCTTTGTCAAAGATCAGATGTTCGTACGTGTGTGGGTTAATACCCGGATTTTCAATTCGATTCCATTGGTCTACCTGTCTATTTTTGTGCCAATACCAAGCTGTTTTCAGGACTATAGCTCTATAATAGAGCTTGAGGTCAGGGATGGTGATGCCTCCGGACGTTGCCTTGTTGAACAGGGTTGTTTTGGCTATCCTGGGTCTTTTGTTTTTCCATACAAAATTGATTATTGTTCTTTCAAGGTCTGTGAAGAACTGTGCTGGGATTTTAATGGGGATTGCATTGAATCTGTAGATTGCTTTTGGTAGGATTGCCATTTTTACTACATTGATCCTACCTATCCAAGAGCATGGGAGATCTTTCCATTTTCTGAGGGCTTCTTTAATTTCTTTCTTTAAAGATTCAAAGTTCTTACGATACAGGTCTTTCACTTGTTTGGTTAGCGTTACCCCAAGGTGTTTTATGTTGTTTGTGGCAATTGTAAAGGGTGATGTTTCTCTGATTTCTCTTTCAGCCCTTTTATCATCTGTATATATTAGGGCTACTGATTTTCTTGAGTTGATCTTGTAGCCTGCCACTTTGCTGAAGGTGTTAATCAGCTGTAAGAGTTCCCTGGTAGAGTTCTTTGGGTCATTGATGTAAACTATCATATCGTCTGCAAACAGTGAAAGTTTGACCTCTTCCTTCCCAATTTGTATCCCCTTGATCCCCCTTTGTTGTCGTATGGCAATAGCTAGAACTTCAAGTACCATGTTGAAAAGGTTTGGAGAGAATGGACATCCTTGTTTTGTTCCTGATTTTAGAGGAATTGCGTTGAGTTTCTGTCCATTTAGTTTGATGTTGGCTGTTGGTTTACTGTATATAGCTTTTATTATGTTTAAGTATGTCCCTGTTATCCCAGATCTCTCCAAGACCTTTATCATGAAGGGGTGTTGGATTTTGTCAAAGGCTTTTTCAGCATCTAGTGAGATGATCATGTGATTTTTGTTTTTCAGCTTGTTTATATGGTGGATTACGTTGATGGATTTTCGTATGTTGAACCATCCCTGCATTCCTGGGATGAAACCTACTTGATCGTGGTGAATGATTGTTTTGATGTGTTCTTGGATCCGATTTGCCAGTATTTTACTGAGTATTTTTGCATCAATGTTCATGAGGGATATTGGTCTGAAGTTCTCTTTCTTAGTTGTGTCTTTGGGAACACACTTATTTCTTTTTCTGGCAAATAGCTTTACTTAGTTTAAGGGGAAGTCGGTTGACAAATGTGTATGTTGTCTGTAGTGTAAGCATTGTAACAGTGCTACCTTTACCTTGTACTTGAGGATTTTGTAACAAAAATTAGAATTATATTCTAGGATCCTAGAATTTTAGAGGAGGAAGGGTCTGACTTCCAGAATTTTCCCTGGCCATAAATTTTCGGGCCCTTTTTACTCTGTCACCTGTATAGCATGGTATGTGCCATGATACACCCATGCCTGTAAGTAGTCAGTCCGTGATGTCTGATTATCTAGGTTTTGTTTTACTCCACCCCTTGTGATCACAGAGTTGAGAAATGTTACTTCATCTCCTTCAGGCAGGCTCAGGTTCCTCATGTAGAGGCTGAGGTAAAAATACTACCCACCTTATAACGCTGGTGCTCCAATTCAAAACAAGATAAATGTTTTTCACAGCATTTGGATGCAGTGTCTAATTAATTAATGTAGAATTGTTATGATTTAAAATGATGATAGTGATAATAATTGGTTGCAATATTTAATAGTCACATTATTAAAAAAATCTTAGATGCCACTTGTATTTTTAAGAACTTTGCTCAGTGGTCCAATAATGGTGTCACAAATGGCTCTTTTGGAAAAATATCATTACTTTTGGACAGGCATAGTAGGATTAATTTGTCCTTAGTATAACAAAAATAAATTACTAAGAAATATAACATAGAGTTCCAGAATACAAAGCTTATAAAAATGTCAGTTTGGAGTAACCAAATTCCAGAGCCCAAAGATGCATCTGCTCTAACCCTTTTATTTGAAATAAATCACTTTGTCAAAATATTTATTTTGTGATGGAGTAGAAAAGTCTTAATAATGTGAACAATTAGAATACTTATGGATAGTTGCGCTCTGTCTTTTCTGGAACATTGCCAGACAACACTGGCTTATTGGCCATGTATGAGTAGTCAGTTTTCTTGAAGCCTTGTAACTGATGCTGCCGTATTTCCACAGAATGTGGTGAAGCTGATGCGAGGTCTTCTCCAGTGCATGATGAGACAGGTAGGTGGGATGTGACAGACTATTTCCTACAAAGCATTGGTTATGTGCATTTATGTCATTTCAATTGGGATGACATCTTTGTTACATTTGGAACTTCCTCAAGGAGAAACCTCAAGCAAACCAGAAATAGTTTGCTTACTTCCTCTTTTAAAAATTATCCTCAATAATTTTATGATGCTATAGAACCAGTTTCAGAGGGCAGTTTTGAAGGCCCTCTTTCAAAGATTTATGTGTATAAAAGGAGAACATGTCTTTTTTTATTTAGAAAAAAGAATATTAAAACCACTCAGAGAAACCCACGTGCTAGTTATTGTTTATTCTGGGTGTTTTCACTTCAAATCAAGTGCTTGAGCTTTTATTTTTTTCATTATTGGGGCCAGCTAGATGACTCAATCATCACTAAGCCCGAAGACCTGAGTTCAGTGCCAGCATCCACCTGCTAGATGGGGAGAAATAATTTCCACAAGTTATCCTCTGCCCTGCCTCCACATGCATGTCTGCGCGCACAGACACACACACACACACACACACACACACACACACACACAGAAAGTTGATCAAATCAATGTAATCCATGTTGTTAAATTGACATCATTATTTACTGATATCTTCAGTGTAGGGTAATTGAAACAATTTGTTGCAATATTATACACAGAACCTTCCATAAGAATCTGCACTGGTTCAGAGGTATGTGTGCTACCACCCCATCCTTAGTCAGAATAGCCAAAAACATTGTGCTCTTTTCTTTGCCATGTTCTGAAAAGAGAAGTCGGCATTTAAACAGGCTCTTTTCCTTCCCTCCCTATGTCCTTGAGATCCTACCATGCACCACTCCTGGGGAGTCTGTGGACAAGGAGACCTTTTGATCTGAGCCTCACCTATGAGCTCTGGGCTGAGGTATTTCCACTGAACGAGTGGCAAGAGTCTCCATCATGGCTCCTATGTGTAGTGCTCATTAGCAGCTCCTTGCCACCCTCCTGGCTCCCAGAGATAGCAGATAAGAGTTCTAGTAGATTCAGTGATTATCCCTGCATATGACATCTGCCAGTCATGAACTTGCGTAGAGCTATGTGATGCCATCTCGCCTTCTTCAGGTGGACAAAGTGGAGAAGTTCAAGCACACTCAGAGCACCAAGGACAGTCTGCACGCCAAGTACAACACCGCCACTTGCAGTACCGTGGTGGCGGATGACCAGTGGGGCCACCTCCAGGTGGATGCCACCTCCCTCTTCCTCCTGTTCCTGGCTCAGATGACTGCCTCAGGTGAGCCACAGCCATTTGACTCTCAAATCAGAAGGTGAAGGAGGCAGCGTCTGTCCATTTGTACAACGATAACAAAATACCCAAGACTGGGAAATTTAAACAGCACAGAAGTTGCTTTTCTCACATTTCTCGAGGCTGAAAAGGCCATGATTAAGGTACCAACAAGTTCAGCTGTCAGGTGAGAGTAGCCTCCTCTGAAGAAAGCTTTGTGTTCACACGCTAGAAGAATTGAGAACTGAATGCTGTGTGGAGCCTCTTTCATGAGGACCCTAATCCATCCATAGCCTAAAATCAAAGGTCTGCACTCTTAGTACTGTCACATTAGCAACACTGCATTTCAGAGGGACACACACTGAGAACATACCAAGTCCTATGAATTAGTAGTAGATTATACAGAGGAAAAGCATGCTTCCTCCCTGTGGTGTCATCTGCATCTGTGTCTGGGGTAGGGCCGGGAATGCTGGGTCCCAGTTGTCACCTGTAGACAGAAATCAGCCTCTACCAGGGCATGTGCAAGTTTTGCTTTGACTCACTCAAGGCTGTGCTACCAATACTTTTGGACTCAAACCTTTGCTTTGTTGGAATCTTTGCTGCACAAACATAACGTTCTAGAGAGCCCGAGCCTTATCTCTGAACTTTCTTCCCATAGACACACTCTAAGTGGAGGTGCTACCCCCACTTTCTGTCTTTCCTTCTACTTCCCTTCTGTTTTCTGAGATGAGGCATCAACCTTAGGACTTAAGAAAAGTAGAGACTGGATAAAAAAGACCTACCTATATGCTAGCAAAATATTTGTTGTGTGTAGCTGGCAACTCTGCTCACAGTATTGCTTTTCTTTATTAGGCTTGCGTATTATTTTCACCCTTGATGAAGTGGCCTTCATACAGAATCTTGTCTTTTACATAGAAGCTGCATATAAAGTTGCTGTAAGTACCCATGCTGGTAGTCTTTTTTTCCAGTTGTCAAACTAGAATGTTAAAAAACTCGGAGCTGTGAGAATGTGGCACATCTATATGCAAAGTATATATATATATATTTTTTTTTTTGTCCTGGGATATAATTGGGGATTTCATTTTAGAATGTACCACACACTCTGTCTGAATACATTACTGTATTATAAATAAAACCTTAAAATATCCCATAGGATATCAGTTGGGCTGAAAAGGGGGCCATGTTGATGCCTTGATGGGAACTCGGGCACCATGGGGATTACCCTATCAGCCCATAAGTAAAGGCTGCACTGTGAGTATAAGCATCAACAATTTGCTTCCCCAAGGCTTCTGTCTGTGTTAGAAGATGAGGATTGAGATGCTTCTAGAGCACTGGTTCTCAACCTTCCTGACACTGAGACCCTTTAATATAGTTCCTCATGTTATGTTGACACCCCCAACCATAAAATTATTTTTGTTGTGCTACTGCTATGAATTGTAATGCACATATCTGTGTTTTCACATGATCTCAGGTGACCCCTTGAAAGCGTTACTTGACTCCTAAAGGGTCACAACTCACAGGTTAAGAACCACTGCTTTCAACAATAACTCATTTGCAAGGCTGACTGTCCAGGTAGTAAGGAAAGGGCAGATGGTAGTATGGCTTCTGCAGCTACTTAACTCTGCAACAGGAAAAGCTACATAGATACTGTGGATACAAACGAACACATCTGTGTCTCAAGTGGACTTCCTGAAAAATGAGCAAGACCCATAGCTTTCTAATCCCAGTTTTAAAGCAGTGATTTGTGTTGATAGGTAATTGTTCTTTCACAGGGTACATTGGTAATATCCGGAAACATTTGGGGCAATCACACTTAGGAGAGAGAGGGCATCTTATGTGTGTAGGCCAGGAACTGCCTATAATACATAAGAAAGCCACTTCAACCCTATGTCCAGACTTCTCTGTCTCAAAATGTCAGTCGTGCCAAAGTTGAGAGACCCCAGTCTAAAGAAACTTGAGAGATCTTTGTGGGAAAGGTATTCTTTCAATTGGACCTTGGGAGATGAGTAGGTTTCCATAAGAGAAAGGGCATTTGAGTGCAGGGATAGTATGAGTAACCAGCAGTTGCAGACAGGAACAGGCTGTGGGGGAAGGTGTGATTTAGGGAGGGCAGACATTGGGAGCATTTGGGGTAGAGGGTGCAGAGTAAAGGCACAAACTTCAGGTGAAAGTTGGCACTGGAAATGGTAGAGTATCTGTCAACTTGCTGGCATGCTGAAGGTGGAGGCCAGGTTATAGAGGGTATGGCCATGCAGAGAGTCATTGATGTGATCTACTAGGAAAGAAACTATTGCTCAGTTTATCTGGAATGCAGGATGAATTAATCACACAGTCTTCAAGGATGAATTTTATGGCTGCTAGATTGGAGTATAGAATATTAGGAACAAAAGAATGCTCAGATATGAGAAAAGACACTTGGGTCCACCTACAAGACCTGCTTGCAGGACAGGGTCTCCAATGATACTAGTGCATCTAGGTTTCAGTGTTCACATTTGAAAATGTTCTTCCTTGTTTTGTTTTGTTTTGTTTTTTGTCTGTTCCTTTTTTATTTTTACTTTTGAATTTTTTTTTTGAGACAGGATGACCTCAGACTCAGCAATTTTACTGCTTATGCCTTCTAGGTGCTGGGATTATAGGTATAAGTACGATGCCTGGTTGTTTTAATATTTTTGAGGTCTTTATTACCCTCCAATCTAAGTCATTAGACTTAATTTTCAATTTTCATGATTTTACATAACAGGAGCCGCTATGTCCATCATTCCTCTTTTGATATTAAAAAATAAAGACTGATTTCGCCATCAACCATGCTCTTTATTTTGAGAGGGTGTAATATAGTTATGTCGTTTTCCCCTTCCCTTCCCTCCCTCCAAACCTTCCCATATACACCCTTGCTTTCTTTCAAATTCATGACCGTTTTTCTTTAATTGTGTGTGTGTGTGTGTGTGTGTGTGTGTGTGTGTTCTTAAATGTCTAACTATAATCTACTCTGTATATTGTTACTTGTATATATATTTTTCAGGGTTGACCATTTGGTGTTGAATAACCAGTTGGTGTGCTCTTCCCTAGGGAAGACCATTACTCCCACTGTCAGTATATCTTAGTTGCCTGGAGTTCTTTGTCTATGGTTGAGGCTTCTTGAGCCTTTGCACTTCCGTGTTAACATGTCTATTGGTGTCATATTTGCTCATGGTGTCATGTTTAGGCAGCCATGTTGGGCTTTGTTAGGCTTTTGCCCTTCTATAGTGTATGCAGCATTTTGAAACAACATGTGACACTTGGGTTTTTTAATATAAATATGAATCACCAAAGTTTTATATATATATATGTATATATATGTATGTATGTACGTATGTATGTATGTATTGAGTCTTCTGTGTGACATTATTCTGAATTAATTTGCATGAATGGGTCTTTAATACCATGTATGTTCAGTGAGTCACTTTTGACATTGGATTCAGTTACTTGAACATTTTCTTTACACAAGAGGTAGTGCTAAAAATAGTTTTTGAAACTGTTTTAAATAAGTTCAAAGACATTGGCCAAGAGAAGGGCAGCACTTTGATTTTAAGATAAGTAAAATATATTGTTCATGGCAAATTGAGTTTGTTACAAATTAATGCCATTTAGAAATAATCCTTCGGAGTGTCTTTGTGTGCTCCTTTGTTCCACTTGAGTATTTTCTTCTAGAGTTCTCTACCGAGGCTGAAATTGAGCAAGAATAGAATGAATATATGAAGCCACAAAGCCTTTGAGAAGCCATACTCACGTTTCATTGTGTTTGTGCTAACATAAAGAAATTGCTTTTCCGTAGTATTTCTCATGTACTCCCCCATCTCTGATAGCTGCCTTTTTCTCCCCCAGGATTATGGAATGTGGGAACGTGGAGATAAGACTAATCAGGGCATTCCAGAACTGAATGCAAGCTCTGTGGGAATGGCTAAGGTGACAGTCCTGTTTTTCTCCCTTCTGCGTGTATTTACTTCTTTGTCTGGTTCTCTTCTTCAGGGATTTGGATTTAATATGACTAGTACTTTTTTTTCCCAAAAGGCAGCAGCAAATATATGAAATCCAAGTGGCATCTATCTGTACTCCAGCCAAGTGAAATTATAGGTCAAGAAAATAGCTTTCCAACACTGAAATCTGTTTGTGACGGAAAATAAGTTGTTCAACCCTTATGATTTGGTGTCAGCCATGAGTCCAAGCTCTTGCTGTTAAGCTGTGTTAGTAATGGCCTGTCTTCCTCTCTAGGCCATAGCGAAGGTAGCACGAGCATTTTGTGGGTGAGATGTACATCGTCAAGTCTACAAGGTTAGATAAGTAACAATAATCAGTGAAACTGGCCAGATAGAAAGGGAACAGAGCAAGAGGGAGATATGGGGGACACTGGCAACTGTTCCTAAAAATATTTCAACTCAAAGCCAGTTAGAAAAATGGTCTTCAAGCCAGCACTGTAATGTGTACCTGTAATCCCAACTTCTCAGAGTACTGAAGCAGGATGGTAACTTGAACCCAGGATTTGGGGCCAATCTGGGCAGCACAGTGAGGCCCTGTTCTACAAAGGAAAAAGAGAAGAGAGGCGATGGGACAAGGCAGGACAGGGATGGAGATGAGAAAAATGGAAACAGAAGACAAAAGGGGAGGGGAGGACTCTTAAAGCCAAGCAGGGTGTACCTGTGGAATGCATCCACCTGTAGGCCACCAGTGTGAATCTCTTGCTAACGACATTTAGTGTGCCTCCTTTCCGTCTCCTTCCTAACATAGGCATGAATTGCTTAGACAGCACGAAGGCTCCAGAACCACAGTTTTAAAAGCAACAATGAATATGCTCTGTTATGCTAAACTGCCAGAAAATGTACTTTTTACTGAAAACCAAATTATCTTTGTCAATTAATCCTGAGGTAGGTTAACTGCAAAGATAAGTGAAAGAATTTTTAGTGCCCCCATGCATGATGTTATAGACTTGTTACTATTCCATCTTTTGGTAGAATATTACTTCATATGAGGAAGTATTTTCCTATGTTTTCTTATTCATGGAATGAGCCGTGTCATCCTGGAAGACTCTGAGCTACTGAAAATGAAGAGAGACCATAACAGTAGAACTCTAGCTAGATTTGAAAGACATTCTTCATTGCCATTAGGAGAAATGTGTATGTGTTAGATGGCTTAATGACAAAGGAGTGCCACATTAGTACGCATGCGTGTTTATTAAAAAGATAATTAATTCTCACCCATTTGTGTAGGCGGCACTTGAGGCAATTGATGAACTCGATCTTTTTGGAGCCCATGGAGGTCGCAAGTCAGTCATCCATGTCCTGCCTGACGAAGTCGAGCACTGCCAGGTAATAGTCCTTCCTTCAGAGCTTCAGAAAGTGGCGAAGGAGAATCCTGGCCAGGAAAGGCTTGACCTCCACTTCCTGTTACTGATTTGACTTTCTTGTGATTTAGATTCCTCACCCATAAACTGGGCATGTATATAGGCACCTTCCTTCCTGCCTCATAGAGTAACTGTAAGGATCAGAGTAAATGAACCAAGTACTTCAGAAAGTACTATGCAGACATAAACCATAATGATTCTGTGTGCGTGGAGCTAATAGCCAAAGCATCTTGGTTGTGCTAGAAGCAAAATCTGTTCTGTTTTTTTCTGAGAACATAAGTGATTTTCTCACATTTGTTTCTTAGTGCTCCCAAATGGAGTGGCTCACAAGTGACATTTCACTTGAAGTGAGGAGGCATGGTGTGCAGAATGGTGAGAGGTGAACGGAGAGAGATGGCAAACTCTTAGGACTTCTTTGAAATGCAGGTCACTGGAATAATTGGTACAGTGTAGGGGTGCCAGTAAGCAGACAGTCCTTAATTATACTGTGTGCTGGAACTAAAGTGAGTCAGATACATAACTTGTAAATGATAAATCATGTTTGATGCCTGTAATCCCAGGAGGAAGAGGCAGGAGGACCAAAAGTTGGAGCTCATCTTCAGCTACATAGAGAATTACCAAGTTCAAGGCTAGCTTAACCCACAGGAAACCCTGTCTCCAAAAAACTAAACCCGAAACACTTGTAAAAAAGCTTCAAGTGAGAGTTTGTGTTTCCAGGCAGAGAAACCCTGAAGAGGGGTGCTTATAACCTTGTACTTTATAGTTACATTTTGATCAATGAGGGATGGCATATACTATGGTATCATAGTATATTTTGTCTCTTATTGACTAAAATGTCCCATATAGCCCATGTGTATAGTCAACTATACGATCTAAGTGTTTGTAAGTATGATACTTATACAATGATGACATCACCTAATGTTGTATTTCTCAGACTGTGTCACTCATTAAATGATTCACAAGTATAAAAGAACTGGTTGACTATAAAAAAACTTTATTCTAGAGCTGAAGGTCTCTGCTCATCTTAGCCTCACCTTCCAGTTCATTCCATTTTCCTCACTAAGCATAGTCCTTAATGAAGTCTATGGTATTTTCTTATGGTATACGTTAATAAAGGAGATATGTGTTCTCAGTAGATATATAGTATGGTGGGAAAATATAAGCTGGGTTTGAACCCTGGCTTGATCACTGGCTACATGACCTTGGGCATGAATCCTGTGTCTCCGAGTCCTTGTATATTAATTTGGTATAATGCCTTATCTCTATCTTCAGGTGGAATATTTAATGAGCTTGTTTTTGCAGGTGTGTAGCCTGTGTCTGTACATGCTAGATCTCAACATTAGTTCCTTTACTTTTCCAAACATTTCCTTATAATTCTAACCCCCTTCTACATTTATTTAGCTACCTTACTGTTGAGGCCATATCTTAGTGCCTCTGATAATCTTAAAAAATATTCTGGAACTAAACTAATTCTTACCATTTTGTCTGACCGCTCATGGGATCTTATGAATTTTACTCTTCCTTAAAGCAGTTTCTAACTTACCTAATTCATCTAGTCCCATTTCACAAAAGCATTCATTTCTCTGTGCTGGTACTGTATGAGTGTTCTTGTCTGGTTTCTGTCTCTGGAGCCAGACATCTTGACTGCTGATACAAACAGTGCTGTAGTTGCTCCCCATCAGTGGACATGGAAAGAAGGGAGATAGCAATTCTTAGCACAAGCCTCAGACTATCATGCTCTCTTCAACCCTCTCTCCTCTCCTAAGGAAGAGGAAGCAAAGCATTGTCTGGGTGACTGGGTAAGCAGGGGTGGCCAGTGCTTGTCATGTTGCTAAGACTGAGTCCTCCAAATAGACAAACTCATTTGAATGTTTCCTTTAGGCCAAGGTGATGATCTCTAGGTACTATATCTAACTAGTCCTGCTTCTCTAGCGTAAACTACCTCCTTGTTTTTTCTTCAGTCAATTCTTTTCTCCATGTTGCCACGAGCATCAACATCTAAAGAAATCGATGCTGGACTTCTTTCTATTATTTCTTTCCCGGCCTTTGCAGTAGAAGATGTGAACCTAGTAAATGTGACCAAAAATGAAATCATTTCTAAGCTTCAGGTAAGCATTGGCCAATGCTCCTCTGTTCTGGATTAAATGCCACGTTCGTGTGATGCAATGGGGCGGTTAGCTTATGGTGTGTTTTTCCTAGATCAGCAGTTCTTAGCCTGTGGGTCGTGACTCCCATGGAGGTCGCATATCAGATCCTGCATATCAGATATTTACATTATGATTAATAACAGCAGCAAAATTACAGCTATGAAGTAACAAAATAATTTTATGGTTGGGGGTCACCACAGCATGAGGAACTATATTAGGAAGGTTGAAGACCACTGCTGTAGAGGTTATAGGAAGATTCCTTAGAGAATCTCTAGAAAGCTCTGTAGACCCTGCCTGGACAAAAGCACATATCCAAGTGCTTGCTGTGCACGCATGAGCATCTGAGTTCATATCCCTAGCACACATTTAAGAATCCAAACACAGTAGCATACACCCATAATCTCAGCACTGGGGAGGAGGAGATGGGTAGATCCCTAAGATTTGCTGGCCAACCAGTCTAGCTGAATTGGTGAACTCCAGGTTCAGTGAGTCTCTGTCTCAAAAAAATAAGGTGGACAGGGAGTAAGGAAAATGGCTGACATCAACCTCTAGTCTACACACACACACACACACACACACACACGCACGCACGCAAAATGAGAACGAAGTACAATAAAAATATAAAAATTAAGAAATATTTTTATTATGAAATATAATGAAACTCATTTTGTATTCTAATAAAAATTTGAATGGTGAAAATCTGTTATTGCATTCAATGAAATGCAGTTAACAGATCACTAAGCTGAGGCCATATTATACTCTCAGCAAACAGAAACCCACAAAATTGTCCCAAGGATGAAGTTTTCCTAAGTCAAAGCGTAAATGTTGATTGTCCCACCCATATTCAGTAAGAAATACCTTTGTCCCTTGCAGACAAAGCAATGAAAGAGTCTCCAATCATATTCCAAAAAGAAAGCAACTGGAGGGGTCAAGTGATGATTTAGGTAGCTGCAGCTGAAAGGGCAGTTGTGATGTATTTATAGGACAAGGGACTTCTATGTCAAGTCCCCAGGGATGATTCCCAGAACCTCACAGAACTTGTACAAGCCTTCAAGACAAGTGATAGCCAAACCTGTCAAGACAGCACCACTCCCAAAAGAAACTGGGAAATAGGCACCCAAAGCTGCCATCCAGGGATTAGGGACATCCAGAAAGCTGGAGAGGAGCCCTGGCATCTGCATCCAGTGAACGCTGCCACGTAGTGAGTTCAGGAAGCCGCCTTCCATACTTCCTCCTCTTATATTTTTGGTTGTGAGCCTAGCCTTTAACGGCTGAGCTATCCCTCCAGCCCGCATACTTCCTCCTCTTAACCCCCTCTCCTCCTCCAAGCCCTGCCAGGCCTCCGAAGCAGACCCTCTTCAGCATACATGGCCTGAATACATTGAATCTGTAGAGTATACTTTTAGGTTCCCAGATATACACACAGGAGCCAGCCATTCCAAATATCAGTGGTTTTTTCACCTAGTGAGGACACCTTTGCATCTGTGTCTGATACCATAAACCATGCAGAAAGAGTGGCCATTCACTGAGTCCTTGATAATCATATTTGCAGCCCCACCCCAGACTCTGATGGAATGCTTCTGGATAGTGCTCATCAGGTCTGAATTTGCTTTGCTTATTACTTAAAAAGAACTCTTTACATTAAAGCAAAGAGCGCTGCTACATTATTTGCTCACTATAAAACACAAGGGAAAGGGGATGAGGGACTGACTTGAGGTGGAATTAAAAGGCAAAGAAAAATTCTTTTGATTTCATCAGCTTTATTTTTTCCCTTCACCTTACCAGGGCCGTTATGGATGTTGTCGCTTCCTTCGGGATGGTTATAAAACCCCAAGAGAGGTTGTATTTAAATATTGTTTCTTATGTTCCTTGACTTCTCCATATCTACTTGTCACTATGTCATCCTCCCTTTACTGATTATAATTATATGTTGAATATTGGGAAGGAAAGTATTAATTTTGGAGTCAGCAAGCCTGGAGTTAAGTAGAAAAGAATGATCATCAGGTCAAGCCAGTAATATGAAACCAGCTTGTAAATCAAAGATGACTAAATCTGTGGCTCACACCTTACATTTTAAAGATAATCTGTAGCCTTCTCCTGCCACAGTGACTAATGTAATTATAATAATATAATATAATAAATATAATATAATGATATGAATGAATCAGATCCTCTGCCAAGCATTGTGATAGGCAAATTGCTATTCCTTAGAGAGAGATGATGCTTTAGTGTAAAAAACTACTGAGGAGTCTGTGTGTATTTCTGACTTAGTGTCTAAAATTTTGCCCAAACTAGCATTTCCCTATGATAGTAGACTCCTGCTCATACCAAAGCTGCACTGACTGATGCAGGCAAGGGAAACCCAGTGAGACACAGTGGCATTGTGTATGAAATCTAGCATCCTTTTCTAAAAGTTTTGTATTTGGTTCTAGGACCCACATCGCTTGCATTATGACCCTGCTGAACTTAAGCTATTTGAAAACATTGAATGTGAGTGGCCTGTGTTCTGGACTTACTTAATCATAGATGGAATCTTCAATGGTGATGCTGTTCAGGTGAGAAAATGCTGGGCATTGTGCTCATAAGCCTGTTCATCCCATTGATGGGCTGATCACCATTAGCAGGGTCATTCACAATCCATGTCATTGTTTCTGCTATGTGTTGCCATTTTAAACACTTTGCCAAAGACTAGTAAGTTAAAGCAACGACTGTTTTACTTATTTGTTTATAGTTCTGTTACTTGGGCAGAGCCATCAGGGACAGATTGTCTCTGTCTCTCTCCATGTCCCCTGGGATAGGTCACAGGGCTAGAGGACCTACTCTTAAGATAGTCCTACTCACATGGCCAGTAAGTGGAATCTGGCTGCCAGCTAAGGCTGGATGCTCAGCTGAGCCGTGGCAGGAACTTGATTCTTCTCCATGTGCTTCGTTTGAGCTTTTCACAACAGTAGAATCTCTGGGTCATTAGATTTTTCATGCTGTAGTTGTCTTTTCTCCAAGAATGGAAAAGCATGGGCTGCCAAGCTTTCTTAAGTCTTATTACAGAACTGGCAAAGTGTCTCTATCACATAGTTGGTTAAATTGCTGTCACATACTCAAGAGTGGGGGTGGGGGAGTTAGATAAGGGCATGAGTGCTAGGAGGCATAGTTCCTGTCTATCTCAGACAGGTGTCCCTTTTATTTCTTTCAGAGCAGTGGGTCATTTTGCTGTTGTTAGGTCTAGTTCAGAGGTACTATGGTTTAGTGATGCTCTCAGATGACATCTTGTTTAGTCTGTCAACCCCCTAACTGTCTCCCAGGCTTCAGCTTTACTCCCTGTTCTTTCCATTCTCTGCACCTTGCCAGAATGCTTTTATTAAAAGACACTTAGAATATGCTGTTGCCCTTCAGGGTTAGTCAGTCACCTTTCTATTGCTTTGACGAAATATCGCAAATAAACAAGTTAAAAGGAGGAAAAAAAATCCTTTTTGGTTCACTGTTTCAGAGGTTTCAGCTCCTGGGTGGTTTTAACTTCATTGCTCTGGTCCTGTAGTGTGGTGATATTTTGTGATAGGGAGCCTATAGTTAAAGAAAACTATTTACCTCGTATTGGCCAAGAAACAGGCTATATGCTAGGGGAGAAGCTAGGGCCCCAGTACACTCTACCAAGAACATAACTCCAGTGACTTACTTTCTCCATATAGGTCCAATCTTCTAGTTCCTACTACACTCAAAAATGCCAATAGATCCTGTTAACCATGATCTCACTCTGGTTTCTCAGAGCCCATTCTAATCACATCCCAGGTCTGGAGGAGAAGGAGATGGGCTGTAGTCTCTGTCTTGTGCATTTTGGCTTTTGAAAGTCCAGTGCTCAGGAACATAGGCAGTAAACTTAAAATGTTAACATCCCTTTCTGTTATTCACTCTTACATTGTGCTCAGAGTTTATCTTGGGCTTTCTTGTCTTTTATTCTGACCATTGAATGTTCTCTGAATGAATGACTTTGAATTTCAATGAAAATAGACTTAACAATGATGAAGGGGACAAGGGGAGAGAAAGAGATTAAAATTAAAATAATGATTCAATTTTTTTAAAGGGAATAAAAGATATTTTTTTCTGTAACCATTTTAAGTATCCATGGTCCAGGAACATGTATTTAGGCTACTCCAAACTTCATGTTCCAACATGGAAATGGTTTCATAAAGTTCTTATAGTTTTAGAGAAGAAAGTAAGTTGTAAATAAAGGCAAGTTTAAAATACATTGGTGGGACAGGCACACCAGAGAGGCAGGTACAGTGAGATAGTGGAAGCTTTTCTATAAACCCCAGATGCCTATCTGAGCTTTTGGGTTGGTGGAAACTAGTGGTCTGCTAAGTTAATAGATTCCAAGAGGTTTTTATTAGTAGTAACAGGGTGTTAGTTCTAATGGAGAAGTGGGCAAGGAGTGGCTATTCTGGAAGCCTAGACCCCATCTGAGATAAGGTCACTAGCCTCTTGACCTGCAACATTCCAGTCTCTCCTCAGTACTGAAATTCTTTTTTTTAATTATTTTTTTATTTAAATAAAAACAGTCTTACTTTACATACCAAGCCCTAATCAGCCAATCAGTCTCTGCAGACACAGATTCGTTTCAAGAGTTTTTCACTCACACATCCCCCATTGGCTCAGCATTGGATTTTGTGCATTCAGGGTCCTCATTCTATATATCAAATATTGCAAGAGACTGAAGCAGCAATCATGGAGCCTGCAAGGGGCTGCACTAGGCCCTCTGTAATATGCTGTGCTTGTGTAGCTTGGTCCTCTTATGGCACTCCTAACAGTGGGAGTGGGGACTGACTCTGACTCTTTTGCCTGCTCTTGGGCTCCTACTCTCCATCATGCCCAACCTTAATATGCGGTGAGGTGCCTAGTTTTGTTGTAACTTGTTAAGTGGTATTGAGTTGATATCCCTGGGAGGGCTGCTGTTTTCTAAAGGGAAATGGAAGAGGGATGGATCTGGGGGAGGGAGAGCTGGTGGGAGTGGCAGGAAGGGAGGCTGAGGTACAGATGTATGAGAGAGGAAAAATAAAGAAAACGGAAAAGAAAAAGAAACTCCTGTATCACATGGAAACTATTGGCATCATGATCTGAATCCTAATTGATTTTTACCCCCTCTGTATCTGATATAACATTTACATGTGACATAGATTACTATACCTAAAATTAAGTAATCCAGAACACAGTTTGACCTAATGGAGTGACTGTTACAGATGAAACAAACATATCTAAAATAACCAGGATTGATATATTTTTCATGAGACTATATATATAGCATATATATAGAAAGATATGAATATATATCTTTCTCCCTGTATTTACAATTGTTTGTACTCAATGAACTATCTTACTTATATTTAAATGGTTAGGAATGGGACTTGGAAGACATCATTGTATAATAGTTTCCTTTTTTATTAGTAAAATACAAATATTTAATTCATTTTTAATCCCAGCTGAATGTACAATATGACATTGTAGATACTAATTAAATCAGGAAACATCAGTACTTCTGGCATAAAACATCATGAATGTTGTTGCTAGACATTGGTATCTTTTGTATAATTTAGGTAGGATTTAACCCAAATCTTTTGATATCTCTAGCTAGAGTAAATGAAATTAACGTTTAATTTTAAAACTAGCTTTTTTTGCTTTATCCAAATTGTCCAAATTATAGTGTGTGTGTGTGTCTGTCTGTCTATAAAGACAATGGAAAAAACTTGAATCCTTTAACATAACATTATATTTGAATAAGGTAAGGGTTTAGAGTAAGCAAACAGTCATAACAAAAAAAGCATGCTCAAATGAAAGGGTATACTTCATGATTGTATCTTATAATTCTTGGAGAATCTACTATCCCACACCTATGCTATCTCTTCTAGTTGACATACTTAGATTTTTTTTGACACTATAAGGATCAAACCCAAGGCCTTGTGCATGCAAGGCAAGTACTTTATCACTCATCTACATCTCTAGCCCTTGTTGGTGTGTGTGTGTGTGTGTGTGTGTGTGTAGTATGTACATGATCATGTATGTGTGTAGAGGATGCTCATGTGTGAAAACCAGAGATTGATGCTAAATATCTTCAGTTGCTCTCCACCTTTCTCTACCTTAGTTTTGAGATGGGGTCTCTCACAAGAACTCATTTATTCAGCTAGAGTTACTGGCCAATCAGCTTTAGGGATCCTGTAGGTGCATTTTTCTGTCCCTCCTTCCAGCTCCCAAATCATGACACAGAGTCGTATTATTAATTAGGAAAGCTTGGTCGATAGCTTAGCCTTGTTTCTAACTAGCTCTTATAATTTAAATGAACCCATTTCTATTAATTTACCCTCTGCCTTGTGACTTGATTACTTTTACTCTGTACTGCCCATGCTGCTTCCCTGCTTCCTCCGTGTCTGCCTGGCAGCTCTTCTTGTCTCTGCCCTTCTTGTTCCCAGCATACTCTCTGCCCCCCAAATCCTCCCTAGCTATTGGCTGTTCAGCTTTTTATTAAATCAGTTCGAGTGACAAATCTTCACAGTGTACAAAAAGATTATTCCACATTTCCCCTTTTGTCTCAATAAAAAAGAAAGGTTTTAACTCTAACATAATAAAATTCTAAATAATAAGACCAATTATCGGGTAACAATTATATTTACAATGTACAATCCATTTGTATTTGGCATATTTGGAAAAAACAAACCATTATTTCCTCTATCTTGATGAGTCCAAAGCTCTGTACCTAATTTCCTTTCCATCATAACTAAGGAAAACTGTGACTGTAACTACCTGTCTTCAATTCCATCAAAGACCCTAGAAGGATATATTGCCTTAATAAACAGGAAGTGCAGAGCAAACAACTTCCAAAACTATAGAAATAACAGCTGACTTCCTGGACAGTCCCCCAATACTCCTCTGGAATTTTAGGGCATTCATCTTCAGTCTACAGGCCTAGAATATCTGAGAGACTTTTCTGTGAAGCAGGAAATTTGATGACTGCCCTACCCTGTTTGATAAAGTTCAGCAGTCGTTTTCATTTGTGTCCTGCTTGTCCAGTTTGTAAAGCATACTGTCAGCAGTTGAGGCAAGGGCTAGCTTTTGCAATAAAAAAAGCAAACTCCGTATGGTGGCTCTTTGATATCTATCATCCTTTTTTTAAAAGTAGATTGGTGCTGTCAGGAACAGATATGTCTCACTGTCATGAAAAGCTTATGTTATTAAAACATTTTAAATGTCATATTCTGTAGATCTCTGAAGTATTTGAAGATCACCTCTTTAAAATATATCTGTTTGAACTTGAAAACTTACCTAACATGACTACAAGTTTGCTTGTTACAGGTGACTATCTACTAACCTACATTTCTTTATTATCCTAAATAGTTTTTAATAATAGCTTTCAAGGACTAGAAATGTATATTACATTACTAAATGAGCTGCATAGGTACAATATCTTAAACAAGAGTAGAAACATATGTACAGTATGTTCTAACAAAAATAACCTTAAGTTTGTTTCAATATACAAAAATACCTTAAATAAGAATATAAACATATATATATAATAACAAAATTAACCTTAAATTTGTATCAATATACAAAAATCCATACCAGTGTAAAACGTTTAAGACTAGTAGTTGCTTTTTTGGTTTAAAAGTAGATTCAATAATCTACCTTATTATCCTATCATTTCTATTCCCCCTTTTTATTTTCAGAGTGAGATTCCTGAATCTCATTCCTTTGTTCAGCATTTTTTCTGACCATTACCAATAACAACTTGTAACCAACTGCCCAAAATGATAACAAATATCCATAACCCATCAAATGACCAAAAATGTAAATATTATAAATTTTGAGATAATATTTATACCTTAAGAAAAGTTTTAAAGAGTCAAAATAAAATCAAAGGATTATGAGATTAGTGGCAATAGAATAGTCCCTTAAATTTGATTTTTCTTCTGCCCCATACCAGGGGGCTCTTCTGGCATGAGACAGATTTTGTATTTTCCTTTAACAGTCATGTTTGGGTTTAGAGAAGGAGGTTTAATTTTTCATTAAATTGGGACTACAAAAAGACTATTTGCCTTATATGCTTGTAGAGCATAGCAGAAACAAATATTCGGGAATATTGATGAAATTTTATCCTGTTGGAAATGTGCTATACCATTAGGCAAATTTACTCTTTTTCTTGGGACATTTTCTTTGGATGATTTGTCCTTTTTCTTCAGATGTCTCATTTGTCCAGTGTTCTTCAGATCCCTTAGTTGGATTCCTTTATTCTCCTGGAAAGAAAAAAAAAAAACAAAATCCTACCCCACCCCTAACTTTGGAGAGGTTCCCTTTTGACAGGTTATATCTGATCAAGTAAAAGGCATTTGTTAGTCTTCTGTCAGCTTAGACTGAATGACCATGCTGTGTGAAGAACTGTTGTCTCTAATCAAGAGGTCTCTCCTGTTCAAATCGATTCTCTATCAATTTTGGTGGTATCCACAGCTTTCCTTCTCCTGTGGAAACAAAAGCAAAATCTCTTCCCACAATGCAATACATATCCTGAGGCAGAGCCAGTGGTGGTGAGTGGCTGATCTGGAGGTGTTTGGAACCCAGGTGCCAGTTGAGTTTGGGGCCAGGAATGGGCAGCAGCTGAAAGCTGTTGTAGTGAAGCTGCAACGGGAAAAATCGCAGAGTCAGCGTCTGCAGCGAGGGAGGAAAAGTGAGCCCTACTACTTCCTGTGTCTGTCTCTCCTCAGTCCTCCAAAACCTCTGTGGTTAATTGTGGTCAGCTAGTAGCTAACTCTCCCCTTTGATTCAAAACAAACTTTATTGACAGATTCAGGAGCATCAGAAATACCACACAACAGGATCCACTTGGTCTCGGTTCTGTCTCTCCCACCTCTGGAGTCATAGATGTGCCCCCAGACCTTTTCTGTAGGTTCTGGGGTTCCAGACTTAGGTTCTCACACTTGGACTTTGCTAACTTGAGCCATTTCCCCCAGAACCTTGAGAAAAAAGGTAATTGTTGCTAAACTACCACTTAGGCAGAAATAGGATGTGCTGCCTAGTATAGGATATCTAAACCAAGATGTTTTTAACTTGGTAAAACAAATTTTATATATGAGAAAACTTAAGAGTAGATTACTTAAACGAGAAGGTTATGGGAATGATGTCTGGTACATAGTATAAATGATAGTACTATGGAAAGTTTGAGAACCAAACAGCTACTTCCCCTGGGGCTGCCCTTTCCCTCTCCCTGGAAACTTGGCAAGTGGGGCTGGACTCAGGGAATGACAAGCAATGGTGTCTGCCTTCTCCTAACATTTACTGTCAGCATGAGTCCCCCTCTGGTCTTCTGCAGCCAAGCATTTTAGCATTTTTTTGCCCTGTTTGTTGCCAGGAAGCCTAGTTTGTTATTGTTTTCTAAGTGGTATTGCCATGCATCATTAACTCTCGGACCTCTGTCACACTAAACATGCCGGGGCTGTTTTCCAGGTCCAAGAATACCGAGAAGCTCTGGAGGGAATATTAATCAGAGGCAAAGGTGGGATCCACTTGGTGCCAGAACTCTATGCCATCCCAGCAGACAAGGTAATGAGGTGGTGTCAACCCCCCCTGTGCTGCTTATCTAAACTGGGTGAGTTAGGGCTTGCCTTTTTGGTATCCTCTCTCCACCCACCTTCTAGACCAAATGACCTTTTTCTCCAGAAGTGGTTTCTAAGGGCTAGGTTTACTATCCATCATAAGGAACTATGGCTTTGAGAAACATGTGAGGCTGTGGATATCTTAGGGCGGCAACAGCTAAGACCTTTGGAACATACCTAATTTGTGTTTGAGTCAGGCCCATACACACATGAGCAAAGGACATGAAAGAGCCTGACTAGACTGAGGGAGCCTCTGGAACCTGTGTAATCTAAGACAGCCCTGGATTCCACTCAGGGACCAGACACCACTCAGTCCTGCCAGCCTAGACCTTTTAGTGTGACCTACAGCAACTCCATGATCCTATGGTGGCATGACCAAGCTTCCTTGTGACACGTTAAAGACAAGGCTTTTGTCATGCCTCATCATACAGATTAAGTTAGAAAATTCTCCAGAGATGTTTTCTATGTCACGGAGTTTTCTGCAAATTTCTTCATTCTGTATTTGTTATCTGTATGCTATGGATAGTGTGAATGGTGATGAAGGTAAGGGGTGTCTGCGTCACTTTCTATAGTTACATTAATGATATCATGATTAATCCACAATACTGAGAACGAACCCCCACATACACACACACAACACTTGTGATACAGTTTTTTTCCCTCATAGATAAGTGTTTCCTATTTCCTTTGAGTAACTACCCTAATCAATGTTCCAATGACTAAAACCTTAAAGGGAAACATGGAGTTTAGAATGAGAGCTGACACTGTACTCAGAATGAGCAGGCATTGCCAGGTGCTAGGACAAAAAAAAAAACCCACAGAAGCTTATGTTGGTAAGATAAAGCCCCGCCAGGAGGAAATGCATTTTCTAGAGGAGGTGGGCTAGGGAGTGGTAGTGCCTCTATTGGTTTTCCTCAATGCATAGTGCCACCTTCTGGTAACTTTCTTGCATGGGCACACATCCCTGGGGATGGTAAGCACAAAAAGGAAACCAGCCTTGACATCCAGCTATGCAATGTGCATATGCAGGCAGCTGTTTTTTTTATAAGCACACAGCCATCCATAAACAAGAGCTGTGGGGCTTCCTGCTGCCCAGGGCTGGGTATGGAGCAGGCCAGTCAAACTTCCAGCTCCAGTGGCCCCAGGAATGCTTATGGGGAAAATGCTGGCCAGGATTTGAAATCCCTCTCTGTTGCTTATAGCCTTGGGGTGCTGAGAGAGGAACTTTTTGCTTTCTGAGTCCACCATCCTGTATTGCACAGAATTGGTCCAGAGGCTGAGAACTGCTTTTTAAATCTTCTATATCTTCCCCAAATGTAAGATATTGTTGGCCTTTGTACCCTTTGACATTCTGACCCTGAACCTTTCATTTTCCCTGCCAGGTGGATGAAGAGTACAAGAACCCACACACAGTAGACCGAATTCCACTGGGGAAACTGCCCCATCTTTGGGGACAGTCCTTGTACATCCTCAGCTCCCTGCTGGCAGAGGTAGGCTTTCTAGGCTGGAAAGCCATCTATCTGATAGGAGGTACGGGAAACTGGGAATAGCACAGTGGTTCTCTGTACTGAGGGACTGAATAGCTTGTGCAACTTCATAACCTTCCAGGTCACCTGGGCTCTTTTGGGCCCCAGGCTTTCTCTGGCCTTGCATATTCATATTTACAATAAACCAATTCAGATCAGCTAGCTACATGCCATGTTCCCTGTCTCCCTCTCACCAGAATCTCTGCTATGTAGTTAGAATCTGTTTGCATTGCTCAGCAGACATGGGAACCTTTTGAGCCAAGACTAGTGTATCTGATCCTAGAAGAGACAGGCTTTAGGAAGTTATTAGGTAGGCTAGAAGCTCTCTCAGCCCAAGACACAGGGCTCTTCATCTCTCTCCAGAATGAGACAGCAGACACAGATACCACAGGCCACACCAACCCACCTCTTGACACATTCCCTCTTGCCCCCAGGCTTCTGTTGGAAAAGCTTTAAAATGAATCTCCCAGTCTGAGTGAGAAACTTCAGCTGAGGATTGTGGTGTGGGGAAGGAGCCTAAAGAAGAAAGGGTGTGGCCACCTGAGGCTGGCCAACCTGTGTGCTTCGCCACCTAGAAAACTGGCCAAGAGGACAGTGCATCACAATGTTACTGGGTTACTGGTGTGGTAAAGACCAGTGAAAGGTAGCACAGTGGACACATCACCTGGGAACATTGGTTGCTGAGGTGGTTCCCAGGTATGTTTAATATCCCAAGTTCCATGGCCATGGCTTTATCTATAGGAGAGCACACATATCCTTGTGAGAGTCAACCCTGTATCCAACCAGCTCAGTGCCTTCTGGCAGGTCTCTTAACCTCTCTGAACCTCGACTGCCTCACCTGTGAAGTGAAAATTTGGACTTAATTATCTGTACGGTACATTCCAGCTCAGATTTCAGAATGTGTGAGGTGGGAAATAACTACTGAGTCCACTCCTCTGAGACCTCCTCTTCAATATAAAAGTCTTCCTATGGGCCCAGCAGTGGGTCCACTCCATCTCAGATCATCTTCATCCCGTTTGGATGCTTGGATCATTTCTAGAAAGTGCAAGAAGGTATTTTTTTAAAGAACATAGGTAACAAGGTGGGGGAGAATTTTCTGTTCCAAAGCAGTCAGCTCTGGACCAAAGTCTCACTATGAGCAATTTGATCTCAGCCTCCCCACCTGTAGAATGGTGATGGCACATAGGAGGGTGACAGTGTACATGCAGGGACTCAGCTAGCACTAGCGATAGCTTTCTTTTCACTCGCACAGTGTGGGGATGGATTTGAGTAACCCTCAGAGCTAAGCACCAAGTATGCAATACATTTATCAGGAGCATTCCGAGTAGCATATTCTGTTATGGTGAGGGACTCAACAAATACGAAGAAAAAGGTTTTGAGTGTTTGAACCCCCAAATATGTCATTTCCAAGGGTAAGAGCAAGGTGAAATCTTAGTTAAAGCCGTGTTTTATAGTGTTAATGCTCCTCTCTTCTTAGGGATTCCTTGCCACTGGTGAAATTGATCCCTTAAATAGAAGATTTTCTACTTCAGTCAAACCTGATGTTGTAGTACAAGGTTTGTGAGTGTGTTTACTATCCATCTTTAATGTATAAAATCAATGTTAACTTTTCATTCACATTGTTCCCTAGTTTGTTTTTTGAAACGTTTTAAAGGGTGTTTAGCTGGGTTCTAGCAGTGCATACCTGTAATCCTAGTACTTGGGAGGCTAAGGCAGGAAGGTCAGGAGTTCAAAGCCAGGCTGGGGAGGTAGCGCAGTTGGTAAAGTGATTACCTAGCATGCACTGGGCTCAATTTTCATTATCATATACACTGAGGCATGGTGGCTTGTACCCATAATCCCAGCATTAGGGAAGTAAGCAGTTAGGACCAGAAGCCAAGGTCACTTTTGGCTACATAGAGAGTTTAAGGCCAGTATAGCCTACATAGTAAAAACTTGACACAGGAAAAAAGGTATAAAGAATATGTGTATGTGTGATTCATTGTACGATAGAAAACTTTGAGCCAGGCGGTGGTGGTGCACGCCTTTAATCCCAGCACTCAGGAGGCAGAGGCAGGTGGATCTCTGAGTTCGAGGCCAGGCTGGACCGACAGCCTCCAAAACAATACAGAGAAACCCTGTCACGTAAAACCAAAAAGAAAAAAAAGAAAACTTTGTATAACTCAGGCAGGCCCTAAAACAATGGGATTCTTCCCACCCACTAATTTACTTCCTACAAGGTAGTTGTTTTCTAGAATCTAAAGCTTGATCATCACTGGAGCACAAATGAGTCATTGAGCATCATTCTTCATAACTGTCCCTCTGAAAAGTGGAGTCTGAGCCTGATGAAAACTCAGAACCCATGGGAAGTAGTTCATTTGTCTCTTGGAGGTCTCAGGTCTTGCCACCTGCTTCCACCCTCCCTCCCTTCCTCTTCAGCCAGTTCCTCTTCAGAAATGGTGAGAATCCCAATGGGCTGCCTCTCCCAGGGTACCCCAACAAGTCATGTATCAAGGCTGCTAGAGTTCTTGCTCTTCCCCCAAAGAATCCTAAAAACAATGGAGATGGCTACGGAGGAAGCTTTCAACCTAAGAAACGTTCAATGGCCTATGGCATGCACCTGGAGCAGCAATCCCTTCTGTTTCCTCTACTAAGGGACTGTGGCAGCTCTGACACATTTTGGGGGCCCTGTAGAACACTCAGGGACTATCAAATGTCAGCCCACTGTGTATACAATGCATTGCCCAAATTAAGTTGCATACTTTTGTTTGTTTGTGTATTGTTTTTTTTTTTTTTGTTCTTTGAAACAGAGTCCTACTTTGTAAAAACTGGCTAACTTTAATTCACTACATAGCCAAAGCTGGCTTTGCACTCACAGATGTCCTCCTGCCTCAGTCTCCCAAGTGCTGAGATAGGCATGAACCACTATGCCTGGCTTAGATTGCACACTTCTTAAGGATAAGGCTTGTACTCTCCTCTGTGTTGATTGACACCTATGTACACACACATTGAAAATAACGACTGAACAAATAAGAAAGCATTCCTCTTTGGGGCCACTGGCCCATTTTTATTTATTTATTTTTATTTTTTCAGTTTAAATTTAGATAAGAAACAAGGTTGCTTCACAAGTCAGTTCCAGGTCCCTCTCCCTTCCCCTCCCCTCCTCCCGTTCCCTCCCCCCAACCCCCCCATTATCCCCTCATTTCCCCAGGGAGGGTGAGGCCCTCCATGGGGGTGTCCATAGTCTGTCATTTCATCCAGGGCAGGGCCTAGACCCTCCCCCAAGAGTTCAGGGTGAGAGTGCACCTCACATTGTTGGATGGGAGTCCAAAGTCCATGTGTATAATCGGGATGGGTACTGATCTGATGCCCAAGGCTCAATAGATTCCCTAGGCCTCCTCACTGACACTTACATTCAGGGGGGTCTTGATCAGTCCCACGCTGGATTCCCAGGTTGATGCCTGGGATTGAGGAGTTAACCTTTGTCAGGTCAGCTGTTTCTGGGGGTTAAACCAGCCCAGTCTTAATCCCTTTGGTCATCAGTCCTCCCTCTCTGTTACTGGCTTTCTTGAGTTCAGCTCAGTACTTAACCAAGGGAGTCTGCCTCTTCTTCGATCAGCCACTAAATGAAGTTTCTGTTTCCCAGACTCTCTGGCCATGGGATTGTAGGCTGGCACTCCCCAGATCTGTGTCTAAAATCCATATATGAGAGAGTATATGCCATGTTTCTCTTTTTGTGACTGGGTTACCTCACTCAGGATGGTTTCATCTAGTGTCATCCATTTGCCTGCGAATCTCAGGATTCTATTGTTTTTTTCTGCTGAATAGTACTCCATTGTGTAAATATACCACATTTTCTCTATCCACTCTTCGGTTGAGGGACATCTAGGTTGCTTCCAAATTCTGGCTATTACAAATAATGCTGCTATGAACATAGTGGAGCAGACATCTTTGTTGTATGAATGGGCATCTTTTGGATATATGCCTAAGAGTGGAGTTGCTGGGTCTTGTGGTAGGTTTATTCCCATTTTTCTGAGGAATCTCCATACTGATTTCCAAAGTGGCTGAACCAGTTGGCACTCCCACCAGCAATGGAGGAGTGTCCCCCTTTCACCACATCCTCTCCAGCATAAATTTTCGTTGGTGTTTTTGATTTTAGCCATTCTGACAGGAGTGAGATGGTATCTGAGAGTTGTTTTGATTTGCATTTCCCGGATGGCTAAGGATGTTGAGCACTTTCTCAAGTGCCTCTCAGCCATTTTAAACTCCTCTATTGAAAATTCTCTATTTAGTTCTGCAGCCCACTTTTTAATGAGGTCCTTTGATGTTTTGGAGACTTGCTTCTTGAGTTCTTTGTCCAAATGGATCAAAGACCTCAACATAAATCCAGCCACACTGAACCTCTTAGAAGAGAAAGTGGGTGGTACCCTTGAACGAATTGTTACAGGAGACTGCTTCCTGAACATAACACCACTAGCACAGACAGTGAGATCAACAATTAATAAATGGGACCTCCTGAAACTGAGAAGCTTCTGTAAGGCAAAGGACACAGTCAGCAAGACAAAAAGGCAGCCCACAGAATGGGAAAAAATATTCACTAATCCCACATCTGACAGAGGGTTGATCTCCATTTTAATGAGCGTGCATATAATACAAAGAGAGGAGCTGCAAGTTATCACCTCATCAGTAGTGTATACAGAGTACACCTAACCACCATAACATTCTGATTAGGTAACATTTTCAACATTGTTTATTTCATGGTGCTTAGAGGTTAACTTAATTCACTCGATGATCTCAGTTGACAGCTGGAGGTGGGAACCTATTCTTGACCTCCTGGTAGGCTGATCCAACTACACTCCTTAGTCTCTACACTCGACCAATACATATTCTGCTAATTTGTCTCTTAAATCTGCAAGAGTTCTTTTCCAATAGGATATATTAATAGATCTCAACCAGCATTTTTAATCTATTGATCTTATTTTTAATTGTGTATATATGTGAGTATGAATTTGTGCACATGTGTGCAGTGCCCAAGGAAACCAGAAGGTGTTGGGTACTCTAGAGCTGGAGTTACAGGCATTGTGAGGCACCTGGTGTGGGTGCTGGGAATCAAACTTGGGTCCTCTGGAAGAGCAGTGAGTGCTCTTAACTACTGAGCCATCTTTCCACCCCAGCATTTTTTAGTGTAGTAGAACAGAGTAGCATTACCAAGGGATCTAGCATGGAGTAGATAAGGGACTATTTCAGAAACTCGTGCAGATCCAGTGAGATACCTCAACAGATAACAGCAGTTTGCCACCAAGCCTAACAGCCTGAGTTCAGTCCCTGAAGCCTACATACTAGAACAAGAGAATTGACTCCTGCACATTTCCCTTTTACCTTCACACACATGCTGTGACACATGCTTGCCACCCCCCCCAGCCCATACACACACACAATGAAGGAGGGGAACTCATGTGATTGTATCGGATCATGGGGCTCTCTCCAGTTTCAGTCATAACCACTCCCTGAAAGAGGCAGTCTAGAGGAGAGTGGCATCTGTATGGCTTTGATAAATGTGGAATTCCTCTTGTCGGTGGACATTTGGAAACCCATGGCCAGTCCTGATTAACCAGCAGTCTCATTTATTGGAGGCCTGATGAAGAGGGGGATTAGGCTCCAGTGCTGGCTCATGTAGTATGGGCCAATCAAGCATTCTCATGGCTTCTCTTAAAGGGTCTCTGGGAAGATGAGGTCATGGGTAATAAAACCCTTTTAAAAGCATCAGGTGGCATGTAAATGTAAGGAGGAAATGTTCAGCTCTCGGTGGCATTTATATGTATTGCATGTTCAGCACCCACCACCCAGCCTATGGATACAATTGTAGGTTTGGGGAAGACACCCTAATAGTAGCTTAGCCTTTGTTCTCTGAACTGATCTTGGCCCTGGGTCCCTTTACTTTCCAAAAGGCTCTGCTGCAGTTGGGCAAGATACCAGCTGCTTCCTGTGACTGTCTCCCTCTTCCAGACTCCATCCTTTTGCCAATACTCTGCTTTCTTATAAAAGCAGGCAGTGCTGGTATGATAGATACCACCCAGCCATCCCTGATGTGGCACTAAGCTAAGACTAATTCCTGCATAGGCTGCCAGGACCTGGATACTTGGAGGTCCCTGCCAATCAGAGAGCCAAGGACTCACACCAGCTGGGATAGGTGCTCTTTCTCATCTGGGGCTTTGTGCTGTGCTTATAAGTGGGCCAGACAGTCCTGCTCCTACCTATATCTCTACCACAAGACCCGCTTTCTTTCCTGGGGAAAAGAAAGATGCCCTCTCCCTCTCTCTCTCTCTCTCTCCCAAGCTAAAGCATTCCTTGTAAGCAGACTCTGCCAGTCTCATTTCCCGTGCCTTTTGGGAGCAAGAGCACAGATTTCTGACATCCCCTAAGGTTGCTGTTTCTATTCCTAACCCTATGTGAAAGGACACAAGGCATGTTTAGTCAAGACATTTTTTCAGATATGTTATGTTGGTGTGGAACCTATTGAAGACCATTTCTAGAAGTTCTCAGACTGCCCTGCATATAGGCACTTGTCAGATACGCATTGTGTGTGTTGAGGTGCAAGAAGGACAGAGAAAAACAGGGAGCGCAGGAAAACAAACACCACCATTTCCAAAGCCAACACAAGGAATGGGCTAAACTGCCTAGTTCTGGACAGAAGGGAGAATCAGTTCCATGTATCAGTGTGCAGTTACATGAGACATGGATGTGATGTTGATTCTTTATTCTTATTTGCAGTTGCTGTTTTGGCAGAAAACAGTCACATTAAGGGGCTGTTGCGGCAACATGGAGTAAATGTCCAGAGCATTGCTGATGTGCATCCAATTCGAGTTCAGCCAGGCCGGATTCTTAGTCACATATATGCCAAACTTGGTAGGTCAGAGAAGTATTGGGGTCTATTTGGCAAAAAGGACCTTTCTAGGTTCTAGATTTGGGTGTGAGGAAAACTCTGTTATATGTTCTGAAGACGTGGGCAGAGCACTAAGCAGGTCAACCAGTTGTTCCTCTCCATTGTGGAGAAGAATGGTCAGGCAAGCAGATTTCCCTCATTCAGCCAGCCCATACTGCCATAAGCGGGCCCCACTGTTTGGTAGATCTATTGGAGAATAAGCAACTCCCTTTGAAATGTCAGTTGAAAGAGTCATGATTTCTGTATATAGCTTCTAATTGTTATCTGTGATATCCAAAATGCCCATTTTACCCATTGAAGTGGGAATCGGTTCTCTTTTCTTAGAATCTGTATCCATTTAGTTCATGACTGATTACTAAGCAAGTTCAAAGTCAGTGTTAATAAAGTCCTTTCAATAGTTCCACTCCATATAGATCAAACTGGCACTGTTCATATGCGTGCATTAAGAGAAGGGGTAGGATTTGTTTCTCTGTTCAGCTTTGTCCCACTTTCCAAAAGGCCATGGTATAGGAAAACAAATCCTCTCATATATTGTCTGACACAAAAATAAGGCCAGCATTAGTAGATCACTAGGAATAGCTGTTGTTTTTTTTTCTCTAACTCCAGTTTTCCCTTATATTTCAAATAGGACGAAATAAGAATATGAAGTTGAGTGGTCGACCATATCGGCACATTGGTGTTCTTGGTACCTCTAAACTCTATGTGATTAGGAATCAGATCTTCACTTTTACACCTCAGGTAAAGAGAACAGGCCAGTTGGGCTTGTTGGTGCATGCCTTTAATTTCAGCACTAAGGAGGCAGAGACAGGTGGAACTCCATGAGTTCAAGGCCAGCCTGGTCTATATGAGTTCCAGACCAGTTGGAGCTATACAGTGAGACTCTGTCTCAAAAAGAACCACCGTAGAACTGAAGGAAAAAGTGGGGGCAGTAGACAGTGAGCCAGTATCCTCTCACGGGGTTCTCTTTTCTGTCTGGTAAGCATTTCTATTTCAGACATAGAAGAATTTTCTATGCATAGGATCAGGTGGAAGAATAGAAAATGCTTACAGTAGGTGCTCAATTGATGCTACTTAAATCAAATTGAGTATGTCACTGTCCCGCGCTACCGTCTCGCCAGCAAGAACGACGCAGAACACTCGGATCCTTCTGCAGTAAAGCTTTAATGCATCTTGAGAGATAGATGATCAGCTTCTTAGAGGGAGACCCCAAGCTAAGAAACCCAGCCCCTTATATAAGCCTAGGAGCTCCGAGTGAGACGTGTAGAGCCGGGATTGGTGGTTTGCTCATCACCCCAGATGACGGGTGAGGCACAGCTTAAACGGTAAACTCCAACTGACAGCAGATGTCAGCGCCATCTTCTAACGGCAATAGCGATAGCGAGGGTGGCTCCTCACATGTCACCACTTTCCAGACATGAATATTAAAGAAATTCATATTGCTTTACAATGTGACGTGTCACTTGGCTCATATCACCTAAACTTCACTAACCTTTGTGAATGTTGTCATAGGACCCTCAGTATGACATACAACTGGACTGATTTGCAGGTCCCCAGCCCCTTACTGAGATTCAGAATGCTATGGTATTTGTCTTCAAAATTTTTGTTCCTAAAGGAAACTAATCTAGTGGATGCACATAGCAAAATACATTTTTATCCATTTGAGTAGCTGCAAAGACAAACAATTTGGTCCCTTTGCCACTTGCACACACAGCATGGATCCCTGCCTGCCTGCACATGTGGCTGACTATGGAGTCTTGCCTCAGTAGCTGCCACTTTAAACCTTGCAAACTATTTCCCAAATTCCAAATGCAGAGCTGAGTATACACTAGCACAGAGGTCAGGAGAACAGTTGGATTTCCATCATTTTGTGATGCTCTGATTGGCATTAAGCAAGCATTGGTCAGATAGACAGTCTCCCCAGCTCTTCCTCGTTTGGGAAATGGTTGTGAACCCAGGATCCCCAAAAAGGGCATCAATTACAGACTTTTTGTTTGTTTGTTTTTACAAGACAGGGTTTCTCTGTATTGTTTTGGAGGCTATAGGTCCAGCCCGGCCTCGAACTCACAGAGATCCGCCTGCCTCTGCCTCCCAAGTGCTGGGATTAAAGGCGTGCGCCACCACCGCCCGGCAATTACAGACTCTTGATTTGCTCTCAGTGGTGAGCAAGACACCTGCGGGATTTATCCCCTATGGGAGGAGCTGAAGGCAAGTCTAGCATCACACCTTTCCTTTCATACTGGTGTAGCTGCAGCTTCTGGGCAGGTGAAAGACTGTTATGTCTCATCTCAGAGAAAGTGCCCCCCCAACCCAACCAGAGAATTGAGATGGATACCAAACATCTTCCCTGGCAACAGGTTCAAGATCAGTGCTGCCTCGAGTGACGGGTGTCATGTGGAAAGAAGTGAAGGGTGGCCCTTGACTTGGCCTGTTCTAACTTTCAGTTCACTGACCAGCATCACTTCTACCTGGCCCTGGACAACGAGATGATTGTGGAGATGCTGAGGATCGAGCTGGCCTACCTGTGCACCTGCTGGCGGATGACCGGCCGCCCCACACTCACCTTCCCTGTCACGCACACCATGCTCAGTAATTCCATGAACTCCATCTGTTGGGTCATGGGCTGTTATGTAAATGTTTAGGACAATCCCTGTGGACAGTGTCATGTACTGAAGGGGATCCTTAGCCATTTGCCATCTGTGTTTCATAAGGGGTTTGATTGGGTTGTGCTGGTGAGAAGACTGCAGTCCTTTGTACTCCCAGATGATGAAAACTCATTCATTATTTTTTTCCTTAGCCAATGATGGATCAGACATTCATCCTGCAGTTCTTTCTACAATTAGGAAACTAGAAGATGGATATTTTGGAGGTGCTAGGTAAGTTGGGATTTCTTTTCATTAAATAAGACTAGCATGGACCTTTCTGAGAGTCTCGTTACTGCCCTTATCCCACCGTTTGCATCAGCTTCTGAACATGAACACAGAATTTTAGAGTAAGAAGGAAACAAATCTAACTCCACCTCCCTTGGAAAGCTTGAAGCAGGTCTAAAGCAACATTTGTCTGTTGCTTGTTAAACTTCCCTGGCCACCAGAAGATCACTGTCAGATAAGTGAGCAGGTGTTGTCTTTCTGGGACTGTGATCTAGGGAGGGGCCAGTAACTGCTCAATAAAGGCTGACACATTTAACAGACTTCTCAACGGCTCCCAGAAACAAAACACCTGATTAGTCCTGCATAAGTCACTGTCCACCAGTTTCAGTGGCATGAAACCTATTTGGGTTTGTTGTCCTAGAGTACGACTCTCTTGGGTGTGAGTCTTAGGCACCTTAGGTGAATAGAGTTGCTAACTCTACAGGAATCCCCTTTTCATCTTGTCCCTCTGAGTGACCCATGCTAGAGGATTTCTCTATATCTTCATCTCCATGAATCTCTCAGTATGTATGATAACTCCCCAATGGAGCCTTACTGTGCAGCCAGACAGTGGGGCCTTCCCTAGACAGAGAGAGGAGTCCCTCAGGCTAGCTTGCCAGCTGCTGACAGTGTTTGGAAGTCAAGTTACCCCTTCTTGCATCATCCCACCTGTTGCCACAAGAAGAGCATCTTTTTTCAATTTCATGTAAAATACCTTGCCATTTGTATCATATCTAAGTATGCAGCTCCGTATGTCAAGTATACTTCCATCATGTGAGACAGATCTCCAGAATACTTTCCATCTTGCAGAAGAACTAAAACACCACATGCAAGAAACAACCCTCTTCTGTCTACAGCATCCTCTCTATTTTATGTCCCCATGGTCTTAGGCAAACAACTTGTGTAATGTAAGACCTTTGGATGATTGGCTCCTTTTCCTCCTCACTGTTGTCCTTCAAGGTGAACCTGTTTTTCTAACTTTGGCCTCAAGTGATTTTTTTTTTGCAGCTCCTGAAGTTGGCATCTGTGCCCTTGTAGCCTCTTATGGCCCCCACTGTAACCTACAAGTGACTTCCCATGCAGCTGTCCTTGGTCTAGTAGGAGTGTCAAGACAGTCCCCAGTGTGGTACTGTCTACATTTTCAAGGCTAGTATTGCAACTCCCATTAGCATCCAGTTTGGAGCAGTTTGCCTCTAGCTTGGCTAAGTTGCCACCTGGTATACAGCATCCTGACCAAAAGAAAATATTATAGGCCTATAATGAGCCATCTTACCAAATACATTCTTGTATTGAAACCTGATCACTGTAAAAAGAATATAGTGTACAGTTAGGAGTTTTGCGATGTGCCTTGAATATTGTCTCATTTAGTCTTTGCTTTGTGGCAAACTAGAGTCTCATCTATGGATAAGGAACTGTGAGACAATTAGTATAGAAGCCCTTTGGGGATCTAAAACCAACCTCTAACCCCTAGGCCCTGGACTCCTGTTTACAAAGCACCAAGAAGAGAACCATGCAACAAATTGGAATGCCGAGACTCCCTCGGCTACCTGTTATACTCAATTACGGTTTGTTTTCCAATGCTAGGAATCAAATCCAGTGCTCAGGGCTTACATGCTCACTACCTCAGAGCAATATTCCAGCCCCAACGCAGTTCTTGATAATTAAAGTTGGATCCCATTTGGGCTTCTTTATATTTAAGGTTGTTTTGTTAGAAAGTTGAATTCACCATACAGACACGACTTGGAGTCTCACACTCTGAAAAGCTTTAAGTGACCACCTTCCTTTGAGCTCTCTTTAGCCTCATAAAGCCCACTCCTTTCACCTTCATCAGAGAAGAGGTTTCCATTGCATTTTGGTGTTCTGACTCACCTCCTCAACCCCGGGGGGCTAAACAAAACAATCCTTGGAACTGGCCCTTGGCTTCAGTTTGCCGCAGGATTTTCTTCCCCAACTGTCATCTTGTCATATGTCTTTTGCCTATTGAAACTTGGGCACCTGTGAAGGTGGTTGTATTGCATACTCTGGTTTCCTCCCTAAGCAATTCTATTCTGGATTCTTAGGTTCTCACAATAGCAACTAAATTCTGATCTGATGCTGGTGCCTCAGAGGGAGGTCCTGTTGTGTTCCCCTTCGACAGCTGACAATTCTGTAGGCAGAAACTCCATGGGCTAAAAGTATCTTGGTTGTTGAGACCTCTTTAGCAAGACTGAAACTCCCAATTTTCAATGGAGCATTTCTCAGGCCAATATAATAGGGTTTGCGCAGGGTGCATCGGTGCTGATCTGGGAATGGTGGGTCATTCCGATGACTCCCTTGCAGAGAGAACCTTAATCTCTGAGGCATTACCTTCTTGACAGAGTAAAACTAGGAAACCTGGCAGAGTTCCTCACTACCTCATTCTACACATACCTGACCTTCCTGGATCCAGACTGTGACGAGAAGTTGTTCGATGACGTCAGTGATAGGAGCTTTAGTCCTGACAGTGAGTTAGATCTGGGAGGATACCTAGAAGACAGCAGTCATCCAGGTACCTTGCGGCAAGCTTCTGTGGATTGGTGATTGAATTGGTTTAGACCTTGACATTGTGACAAAATTGCCTAAGACTCAAATACAGAAAATAATTGAAAAATAAGCTGTAAGCAAACAAACAAGAACAAGACTTCTGAAGGTTCTGTTCATTAAAATGAATAACATGCTGGTTTAAGAACCTAAATTACACTGATGCTCTTGAGAGCAGGGCTTCATAAGCCCAGTAGGAAAGTCTCAGGTACAAGACTATTCCTAAATTGATATTTCTTAAAAGATTTATTATGTATACAGTGTTCTACCTGCATGTATGCTGCAGGCCAGAAGAGGCCACCGGATCTCATTACAGATGGTTATGAGCCACCATGTGGTTGTTGGGAATTGAACTGGAGGAGCAGCCAGGGCTCTTAACCACTGAGACAATTCTCCAGCCCCATAAATTGATATTACCATTTATTTATTTATTTACTCTTTCTCTGTGTGTCTCTCTGTCCCGTCCCGTTCCCCCCACCCCAGGAAGGTGTGTGTGTGTGTGTGTGTGTGTGTGTGTGTGTGTGTGTGTGTGTGTGTGTGTGTGTATGTGTGTGTGTGATACCATGACATATATATGTGGAGGTCAAAGGACAACTTTTGAAAGTTGATTCTGTCGCTCCATTTTGTGGATTCTGGGGATTGAACTATGGCTGTCAAGCTTGGCAGCAGGTACCATTGCCACAGAACCATCTCAGTAGTGCTCTTTTTATTTTTTAAATATGGTTCATTTGCTCCTCAGACCTCTGTGAGTTCATTTGCACCAGCTGCTCCTGGTACTCTTTAAAGGGGTTTTCACAGCTCTTTAAACTAAATCCTGACCTGAGTGAACCCGAAGCTTCATGCATGCCTGTACTGCTTGAGCTGCACCGCCAGACCCTTACAATTAGATTCCTAAAGGAGGAAAACATTGACCTAGTTTTGACTGGATGAGTGGTGAAACCCCACACGTATATAACATGTCTTAATCTGAATGTGGTTTCAGGTCAAAGTAACCTGTTTTTACTTTTTTTGTTTGTTTTGTTCTGTTTGTTTGTTTGATGAGACGAGGTTTCTCTGTGTAACAGCCCTGGCTGTCCTGGAACTCACTCTGTAGACCAGGCTGACCTCAAACTCACAAGAGATCTGCCTGCCTCTGCCTCATGAGTACTAGGATTAAAGGCATGTGCCACCACCACCCAGCTCCATTTTTACTTTTAGATAACATTTGTAAGTGGTACAGAAAGCTCTATAAAGCTTATCTTATTCTAAGATTAACAGGCAGGATGCCAGCTGCTGTCCTTCATATTTTTTTCATACTCTACTGCTTACCTTGGGATGATGGGACTTTAACACTGTCTCATTCTGGATTTCCTTGGCCTAGAATAAAGACTTTCAAACAATAAATTTATACACACATAAGACATACCTTTCTCTAGCTTTATTTTTTTAGAATCAGTGGAGGTGCAAAATATGTGTTACTAAATGTTGTCTACTCAACAGCTTGTTTTCATTGATCTTTTCCTTGGTTGTCCAATTGCAGAAAGCCAAGATGAACTTGACCAGTATATCAACCAACTTCTTCAAAGCACTACCTTGAAGTGCTACCTACCCCCTCTTTGTAAGAAGTCAGAAGACAGCCATGTTTTCAGTGCTATCCACTCTACTCGGGACATACTTTCGGTGATGGCCAAAGCAAAGGGTTTGGAAACTCCATGTATGTTTTAAGTTTTTCTGTTCATTAAGATACATTCTTTTGCCAAAGTAATATGTTAATAAATTTATGTCAATCCTAAAAGACAAGATGTGCCCCCTTCCCCAACCTTCTACTTCGATGTGACCACTTTCAGCTCTTCTAGATGTTTCTTCTGGCATTTCCATATCTCCATATTTCTAAAATAATGTGTTTACTTCTGTCCTTTGAGGTATCAATTTAACCTATAATGGTCTAGTGTGTGGATCAAGACTTAGCTGTTACAAATTACCACTTCTCTTCTTTGTTCCCTAGCCTACAAAGGGAATTGTGTAAAAGTTTAAATCAGTTGTTACACTTTATGGTAGTATAGTATTCTTAGCTGGACATTATAATGTACTATGATTACATTCCTGGTTTTACCTTATGATTTTCCTGAAATGAGCATTGTCCTTTTTGCTTTCTTTTCTTCTAAGTCTTCCACTGTCCTCATAATAAAATTTCCACAAGGTGAGTTATATTAGTGAATCTCTTGAAACTATTTCTTTCTTAGAGTCTACAAAACATCTTCTCCTTTCTGGGCCAGCTCTGGTATAGCCCTGCTCCCTTGACTTGCTTTCTGAGTTAGTGTTCCTTTTTTTTGGTTTTTCAAGACAGGGTTTCTCTGTATTGTTTTGGAGGCTGTCCTGGAACTCACTCAGTAGACCAGGCTGGCCTCGAACTCACAGAGATCCTCCTGCCTCTACCTCCCGAGTGCTGGGATTAAAGGCATGCGCCAACAACGCCTGGCTTGTGTTCCTGTTTTCTATACATCAATTATTTCTGTTTCTTGGCACTATTATTTTTGTGGAAGACATCCAGTAGTCTTCTTAGAAATAGTAGGTAGTGGGTAACATTGAGCTTTTACAGGTCTGGAAGTGCTTGCAAATATCTTACACCCATTTGACCATTTTGCTGGGTGTAGATTCTAGATTAAAAAGACATTTTTTTCAGATTTTTAAAAAAAGCATCACTTCATATCACGTGCGTGTGTGTGTGTGTGTGTGTGTGTGTGTGTGTGTGTGTGTGTGTGTATGTGAAGGCTGACAGTAAAACCTTGTGTGTTCCTCAACAAGGATGCTTGCCACCTTGTTATATTTTTTTGGGGTTTTGGAACAGGGTCTCTCACTGACCTGGAGCTCAGTGATGAGGCTAGACTGGCTGGCCAGCAAGTCTTAGGGATCTTTCTGTCTCTACCTCCAGAGTATTGGGATTAAAAGTGCATGTAGCCATGTCCAACTTTTTATGTACTTATGGGAACTCAGGCCCTCATACTTATACTAATGGAGCTCTCTTTAGTCCCTTGTTATTTTCTAAGTATCAGCCTCAGATTTGGAATCCATAGGCTGCAAATAAATAAAGGAGAACCCTAGAAAATGTTACATAAACATAGACACAAAGTTTCTCTCTGGGTAATATGTTCACTTTCTGATAGGTTGTCACTTGACTTGTACAAAATTTTGTCTTAAGCATACAGTTATTTTTTAGACAAGTTCTTATTAGCCATATTTAGTTTTAGTTATATATTTTTTTGTGTGGGTGTGAACACACATGTGGGGGTCAGAGGGCAGATTGTAGGAATTGGTTCTCCTTCTGCCATGTGGGTTTCCAGGGTGGATCTCAGCTTATGAGGCTTGGCAGTAAGCACCTTTACCCACTGAGTCATCTCACTTGCCCATCTCCTATTAATTTTGTAAGTAGAGAAAAGTAAACAAATAATTCAACATAAAGCACATTTTAGTCATTTATTTTTGAAGTTCTAATATAATTACATCATTTTCCCTTCACATTCCTCCCTCCAAACACTGTGGAAAAATTTTCTTTCTCCTTCAATTATAGTGGATAGTTTTATTGGGTATATTAGTCTAGGCTAACTATCATGATCTTATAGGATTTTTAATGCATTGCTCCCGGATCATCTGGCTTTCAAAGTTTCCATTTAGAAATCAGCTGTTAATTCTGATAGATTTTCCTTTATATGAAGTGTTTATATAATTATTCTTTATCAATAAAAACCCAGGAGTCAGATATTGGCATAAGAAACTGAATGATCAAAGAAGAGGCAGAGAAGTAACCAGTCTTCCTCTTTCCTTCCTTGATCCAAAACAGCTGAGAATCTTTCTAAGTCCCACCCTTTTGCTTCTTCTGTCTCTCTATATGTCCTTGGTCCTCCAAAACCTCTATGATTAACTTTGGTCAGCTCTTTCCCTTTTATTTCATTGAGCTAATTATCTTTGTTGTGGTTGTTGTTTTTTTTTTTTGAGACAGGGTTTCTCTGTATTGCTTTGGAGGCTGTCCTGGAACTCACTCTGTAGACCAGGCTGACCTCTAACTCACAGAGATCTGCCTGCCTCTGCCTCCTGAGTGCTGAGATTAAAGGCATGCGCCACCAATGCCCAGCCATTGAGCTAATTCTTTATGTTTTCCTCAAACTCTTTGATGTAGTTTATGGCTCTTTTAAATGCAGTGTATTGGAGTTCATCTAGGTAACTCATTGGCAAAAAATTCTACAGGACTTATAAGCTTGAAAGAAGGTACTAGCTTGATCTCTCTCTGTCTCTCTCTCCCTCTCTGTCTCTCTGTAGAGAGAGAGAGAGAAGATCTGGCCTTGTAGAGTTCTTTTGTTAGTTCTAAGTCTGATATAGATAGAACAGCTTGGGACATAGAAAAGAATGTGTGGGTGAAATAGGCCTAGAGGTTGGAAATGGCTTGGGTAGAGTGAAGTCCGATGGATAAAGTATACTGGGCTTGTATATAGGATGTGCCTCTTGGTCCAAACCTGGACTGTGGGTGTAGATCTAGATGAGTGGAAAGGTGGGATGTGGCATGGGAGTGACCTTTGGCTTGGGAGGTAGGCAAGGTCCATCCTGGTGGAAACCTAAATATCAAATGTGGTGCAGTCTGGGTGGCCAGGTTAGGTCGAGGCACTGGATAGGGGACCCAAGCTAGGTTTGGTAGGGTGGAAAAGGTGGGTGGATGAGGGAGATGCTAACCAGGCTACTCCCTGGAGAAAGATGTGGAAGATCTGGCTAGGTGAAGAGGTTCCTATATTGATGTTTTGATCTTTCAAATATTAGCAGGTTTTGGAAAGTTTTGAGATCTTCTATTCACAGGTTCTGAAATTTTAATTGTATGTCTTGATCTGGGAATGGTTTCAATCCATTGTATTGGGGACTCTGGGCCTTCTGATCTGAAAAGTTATGGTTTTCAATCCTGTAAAGTTTTTCTAAAAACTTTGCTTCATTTCCTTTCTCATGTTATCTCTGTTCTTTATTTCATTTATTTTTATTAACTTCTTAGAGAAAATTTCATCATTTCTGTTCTGTTTTCCATATTTCTAATCTGTTCTCAGTGCAATTAGCTCAACTTTTTGTCCCTCCCTTCATTTGAAATTTTTTCACTTTTGGAATTATGTTTTAATTTTTCATTTCCCCAATTCTACCTGTTGTTCCATACATGTAATATAATTTCTTATTATTCTAAAAGCATTAGAGGTGGGACTTTTTATCTTCATGTTTACACTTTCTTCTCCCTGAATGATTTCCATTTCCAGGTTACCTTTTCCTTTTATTAAAGATTTCTACTTCTCTCTTTAGAGTTCCTCCTGCAGTACAGGGTGTACAGCTGCTACTGCAGGAGGACCTCCAAGTGGAACTTGTGGCCTTAGGCCTGTGAGGTGTAGGCAGATTCTTCAGAGGTACTCTACTGTTCTCCTACTGGAAGCTTAAAGAACTGTTCTTTTGGATCCCTAGTCTGTCTCTCTAAGGAATGAACTCAGACCTTGAGATGTATTAATATATTTGTGCCCGGGAATCCTCCCTCTTTCCCTCACTTTGGAGAGTCCTCTAGTCTTCTGTCCTCCTGACGGGGGAAGGGACCATGCAGAAAAGCAGAACATGTAGTGAGCTCACTGCATCTCACATACTGTCTCTTCAGTCTTTTTTTATTTGTATTCCCTTGGGCTCCAGACCAGTTCCAGAAGTACTTAGGATAGCAAATTCCTGAGACATCTGAGGATTCTCTTAAGGCAGGTCTCACTGGTACATTGATTTCCTCATTGTATTCTTGGAGTTTGCTGACCCTATGTTTTGTTTTTCCCTTTTTTAAATTTTTATTTATCCTTCTCTCCTATTACACACCAACTCCAATTTGCCCTGTTTCCACTCCTCCCAGGCTATCTACCTCCCCTCTCCCCCAGATCTACCCCATTTCCTTTCAGAAAAGGGCAGACCTCCTAGGAATATCAACTGAGCATGGCATAATAGGTTACAATAAGACGACATACATATCCTCATATCAAAGCTGGATGAGGTAACCCCCTAGGGAGAAAATGGTCCCAAGAGCCAGAAAAGAATCAGAGACAGCCCCCTACTTCTCCTGTTGGGAGTTCTGTAAAAGCACCAAGCTTCCACCACCCTAATATCTATGTAGGCCCTGTGTTTTCTAAATCACTTATTTTTCAACCTTTGTCTTTCCTATTCCTGAAAATGCTGCTATTATTGCCTTCCCTAATTTTAACCTGTTCTTGAGGATTTGTCTTTTTTGTTTGGTTTTAGTTAGGTGTTTTTTGGTTTGTTTGTTTAGTGGTTATTTTGGGTTTTTTGTTGTTGTTGTTTGGTTTGTTTGGTTTTGCTGTTGTTGTTGTTGTTGTTGTTGTGTGGTACAGGCTGGCCATGAACTTAGCCTATATAGTTCAAGCTGACTTTAAACTTGTAGTCCTCCTTCAAAGTGGTGGAATTACAGATGCGAACCACTTTAGCTTGCTTTATGAATTCCTTTTAAATATGCATTAGTGAGGGAGCTAGAAAGATAGTCAGTGGGTAAAGAACTTGTGGAACAAGCATGAGGATCTCACTTCATATGTTCAACACCCATGTAAAATACAGGCATAGCAATGCGCATCTATAACTCCAGCTCTGCAACTGTGGTGGTGGGAGTGGGGAGTTGGGGGGAGGCAAAACCCTGGAGCTGAATGAGTGAACTACAGGTTCAGTGAAGAGACTCTATCTCAAAAAAGAATGTGGAAAGAGAGGAGACACCAGACACAAAGCCCTGGCTTCCTCATGTATGTACTCACACATAAAATATACATTAGCTGCTTCTTAGTTTTCTGTGTTGTGATACAGCCTGGAGGACAGAGACATCATACTGAATGACTATTGATAAGCATCCAGAGATGAGAAAAAGTAAAATCCAGAATAATCAGCAATCCTAGAGTGAAACTGAGAAGGAAACCCAGATATGAAACCCTGTGACCATGGGCAAATGTTCTACCTTCTCTAGGCCTCAGTTTCCCCACCTGGAAAATGAAAGAGAGGAGTGTGGGGCTGGAGAGATGACTGAGCAGTTAAGAGCATTGGCTGCTCTTCCAGTGGTCCTGAATTCAATTCCCAATAACCACACCATGGCTCACAACCCTCTTTGTAATGAGATCTGGTGCCCTCTTCTGGCATAAAGTCATACATTGCAGATAGAGCACTCATATACTGAATGAATGAATGAATGAATGAATGAATGAATGAATGAATGAGTAAATGGAAGCCAGGTATGGTGGCACAAACCTGTAAAAAAGAGAGGGGAGTGGAATAAAGCATCACCGGTTTAAGTCTGTGTGCCGCCCTAACATGCCCAGTACCTACCAAAAGAAGAGCTTTGTCATTGTTCATTATTTTCTTTTCCAGTTTTTCCAATGGTTTTGCCAACTAAAGTTCTAAGTGGACACCGTAAGTCACTGAATCTTGTTGACTCCCCTCAGCCACTCCTAAAGAAGGTAAAGTATTTGGAATAGCTTTTTATTGTAATACCTGATGATACTGGGTTAGTCCCAAGAGCTATCTCAAATGGTGGCACATAAAGAACATACTTCTTTGTACCCAGGGTTTCCCAGTTGAGACACTCTACATGTTGATATGAATCCAGGCACTTAGTGGCTAGCATGCAGTTTGCATCATTGCATGCTCTGAGTTTGGTATACGCCTTTGTGGTTTGCTTCTTACTGCCCCTCTGCCTGCTCCTAAGAACACAGGCAGTAATAGAAGAAAATCACTTAACTACCTTCCCTACCTCATCTGAGCCAGCCAGAGCTCAGAACAAAGAGCTTGGGGCTTTATTACTTTAGTACTTACACCCTTTGGTTTGGTTTTTTAAGACTGCGTCTCAGTTTTTGGGTCAGGCTGGCCTTGAATTCACAATCTTCCTGCATTGGCCTGCCAAGTACTTATTATAAACATGTACCACCAAGCCTGGCTTCTTCATACTCTTAATGGAATGAGAGTCTTCAAGAACATAAAATCTCGGGGTGTTGGTCTGTAACATGTACTCTTCCCGCCAGTCTGGTCCCAGAGCTGCATCAGTCCCAAATGAACACACAGGAGGCTATATTAATTATGAAGCTGTTAGCCGTTTGTTTGGTTTCTTATTAGCTAGCTCTGACTTAATTATTAACCCGTAACTGCTAATCTGAGTATTTCCACGTGGTCTTCTCTTACTGGAGAAAGGGTCTGTACCTCTTAATTCTCCTGCATCTTACATTGTGGCCGACTGTGCCTGTTTCCCAGAATCCTCCTCGTCTCCTAGTCCCACCTATCCTGCTTCCCTATTGGCCAACAGTGCTTTATTTTATAAACCAATATGATAACATATACACAGAAGGACTTCCCCCATCATTGGTCCTTCTTTTTAGTGTTTTATTCAGATAGCTTTCCTGATTTTATCCCATATGAATCAAAATATCTAATGCCTATTGGAGAATATTTTAATCTAACTTCATTTTTTAGGTAGTTTTAAGCCTGCACTTTATGTTGTGACAGCACATGATTGTAATTCTAACACCATGTAGGCAGAGGCAGAAGATAGCAATTTTTCAGTCAACTTGAGTTACATAGCAAGTTCAAGGGAAGCCTGGGCTACATGATGAGAACTTATTGGAGAAAACAGACAATTATTTTATTAAAGTATACTGTATAGACAGAAAAGTGCACCAGTGAGTAGAATATAATGAATTGCTACTAATTCAGTATGCACTTGTCATTGGCCACTTTCTGTGCCTCCTCCTACTTACCCCATCCCGTAGTCCGGAAATAACTGCTGGGGCCTGTGGGTGTGACTCAGTGGTAGACTATTTGTCCTGCAAGATCCTGGGTTCCATTCCCAGTATATGGTGGGGAGAGGCACAGCTGTCATTGTCTGTAACGGTAGAAGTTGGTTTTGTCTATTTTTAAGCTTTGAATAAATAAAACTTACATACATTTTAACCTGTTCAGTCTAGTCCCTTGCAAATGTTGGCTGACACAGATCACTATTGAAGATAGTAAAGGCCCATAAACAACATAGTACAAAAGATTTCCTGAAAAATATGAAGCTTAGCAGGGAGCTAGCATTAAAAACAAAGTTGGCATTTTATTTTATGGTCATCTAAAATTTCCCATTCTCAACTCCTTTCCCTACTTGTTTGGCTTTTGTATGGCCAGACTCCTGAATACAACTACCAGTGGCCCAGAGATGACCGTGGTGAAATGGACTGTGAGAAGCTAGTTGGGCAACTGAAAGACTGCTCAAACCTGCAGGACCAAGCAGACATTCTGTACATTCTTTATGTAATAAAGTAAGTGCCTTAACCTCTTTGGGCTGCTATAGCAACATACCATCAGCTGCCATCATAAAGAACAGAAGTGTATCTCACAGTTCCAGAAGCTGGAAGTCCAAGATACAGTGTCTGCTGGCAGCCTACTTCCTCATGGGTGGTACCTATTCACCCTATCCTCACATGGTGGAAGCTAGGCACAAGCTCTCTGGGGCCTCTCATAATTGATGACTTATGAGGGATCTTACTTTGTTACCTAGTTACTTTCCAAAGGCTGTACATCCCAATGCTATAACTCATGGGTTAGGATTGTAGTATAAGGACTTGAGGGGGATACAAGCATTCAAGACATAGCAGTAAGTTTATGGACTTCACCTTGTTGAACTTAGTTCTCCATAGTTCATTTTCCTGCTCTATTGGCATTTCCGCAATGCCAGGCCATGATCACATTTGCTCAAATTACCCAGGATCACCATATATAAGACTTCTCTCCCTTTCTCTGTCTCTTAATGCTAGCCTTAAGAAGTCTGAGTGAGACTAGGATACCATAGTGATGTGTGAACACTGGACTTTTGTTTCAGAAACATGGTATAGAAATGTTTACTTGTTGACTATGCCCTTTGTCCTACAGAAGCTTCTCAGTTTCAGGAGGTCCCATTTATTAATTGTGACTCTCAGTGTCTGTGCTACTGGTGTTATGTTCAGGAAGCAGTCTCCTGTATCAATTCGTTCAAGGGTACCTCCTACTTTCACTTCTAAGAGGTTCAGTGTGGCTGGATTTAAGTTGAGGTCTTTGATGCATTTGGACTTAAGTTTTGTGCATGGCAATAGATATGGATCTGTCTGCAATCTTCTACATGTCCTCATCCAGATAAGCCAGCACTATTTGTTGAAGATGCTTTCTTTTTTCCATTGTATAATTTAGCTTCTTTGTCAAAAATCAGGTGTTCATAGATGTGTGCATTAATATTGGGGTCTTCAATCAAATTCCATTGGTCTACCTGCCTGATTCTGTGCCAATACAAAGCTGTTTTCATTACTATAGTTCTATAGTAAAGCTTGAAATCAGGGATGGTGATGCCTCTGGAAATTCCTTTATTGTACATGGTTGTTTTGGGCCATCCTGGGTGTTTTGTTTTTCCGTATAAAGTTATGTGTTGTTCTTTCAAGGTCAGTGAAGTAGAGAGGGAGGAGTGATGAGCAAATGGGTCAAGACCATGCTGGGGAAACCCACAGAGACAGCTGACCTGAGCAAGTGGGAGCTCACGGACCCCAGACTTACAGCTGAGGAACCTGCACAGGTCCAAACCAGGCCCCCTGAACATGGGTGTCAGTTAGGAGGCTTGAGCAGTCTGTGGGACTTCTGGCAGTGGAACCAGTTTTTATCCCTAGTGCAAGAATGGGCTTTAGGAGCTCATTCCCTATGGAGGGATACTCTCTTAGCCTAGATACACGGGGGAGGGCCTAGGTACTGCTCCCAATGATGTGATAGACTTTGATGATCACCCATCGGAGGCCTCACCCTCCCTGAGGAGTGGATGGGGGTGGGGTAGGGAAAAGATGGGGAGAATTGGAGGACAGGAGGGAGAGGGACCTGGGATTTGTATGTAAAATAAGATTGTTTTCAATTTAAATAAAAATTTAATAAAAAAGAAATGTTTGCTTGGACTGAAACCTCTTGATGAGACCCAGAGTCACGAGAAATGTCCAAATACTAGGCAAAATGTACAACAGTCCATGATTCACCCAACCTTGGCATTCTGACCTTTATCTTTGTATTTTTCTGCCTCCTTCCAGGGGTCCCAGCTGGGATACCAATCTGTTTGGACAGCACGGAGTCACTGTTCACAGTCTTCTCAGTGAGCTCTATGGAAAAGCTGGCCTGAACCAAGAATGGAGTTTGATCCGCTACATTTCAGGCCTGCTCAGGAAGAAAGTGGAGGTCCTGGCTGAGGTCAGAATAAGCATGCCCACCGGGTTGTCCGTTTGTTCTCTTTAGCCCCATGTTTTCTTCTACCAATCTTCTAGTTGTAGAAGCTCAAGACATGTGCCTCCTATCAATAAAGGGACTCGGAACCAAACCCAGCTCTGGGCAGGCCCTCTACTGACTTCACTGCTCTGGAAGGAGAGAAGAGAGGAAGAAATTTTCAAGTTGATTAGTTTGGTTCTTTCTTCACCACAGAAAGCCTTACCAAACAATCACATTGCACAAAGTACTTATTTCCACATGTCACAGTACAGTAATCCTTAATGTTTATATCCCTGAGAGTCTACCAAATCTAGAATCACTTCCTGTGGTTTTAAGCAAGTATTCTAGTAGAATGCTAGTCATTGTTACATGTGAAAACTGACGAGCTCGTAAGCTAGGAACACAGTGTGGCTAGTAATTCTAATCTTTGCTGTGTGAAACCTCATCCTTGCCTTGTTAGTATAACAGGAAGTGTGGGGTATTTACTGTAGAGGATTGGACCAGACATGGAGCCATACCTGAGAGATCCAAAGATTACAGGAATCCAGCCTATATGGGTTGCTAAGCCTGGGATTTAGGTTTGAATTTCTCAGAAGGCCAGTGTGGATTATGAAGTTCATAAAGGTAAATTTCTGGTGCTATTGGCACCTAACCTTCTCAGTTAGTTTGTCTTAATTTATATTCTTTTGTACACCTTCCCTCCTCCACCCTCCAAAAAATATGCAGGCCTGTGCAGATCTGCTGTCCCACCAGAAGCAGCTTACAGTGGGCCTGCCCCCTGAGCCTCGGGAGAAGACCATCTCCACGTAAGTCCCTGCCAGAGGACCTCCAGTCTATAGAGGAGCACCGAAAGAGCATTGCACTATTGGGGAAGGGTGGCAGTGGCTTTTGGAAAACACTCTGTCACATGGGTGCTTATAGTATAGAAAACAGGGAACTTACACTGAGAGCAAGGAGACCCAGCTCTGAGGCCCCCATTGTGTGTGACCTGCTGCTCTTTCCTAGGCCTCTTCCCCCAGAGGAGCTCACAAAACTCATCTATGAGGCCAGTGGACAGGACATCAGCATTGCTGTCCTCACGCAGGTCAGATGTTGATACAGGAAGGGCCAACTGGGTCACAGCTTCCTCAGAGTGTCGGTAGGCCTCTCAGGTTCCCTGAAGCCTTGTTCCCATCTGCACCAGGAGATCGTGGTTTACCTGGCCATGTATGTCCGGGCCCAGCCTAGCCTCTTTGCAGAGATGCTCAGACTCCGGATTGGATTGATCATTCAGGTGATGGCTACAGAGTTGGCACGGAGCCTGAACTGCTCAGGTAAGTGGCCATGGCTTTCCATTCCTGACAACCCAGCCCTAGCTCAAGGCCTGGCTGTGCAGGGAGCCACACTCAAGCACTTCTGAACAGGCTTCCACGCTGGGTGAGCTTAGGCTCTCCCAGATTCCTTTGTGAGAGGTGCTTGCTGTCAGGCCGCATAGCACAGCAGTGTTCCTCACTGGGGCTGGCAAGGCAGCAGCCATATTTCCATGAGAACCTTTGCTGCACCTGACAGCTAAGTCACAGTGATAGCCTCTCTGTAAGATGTCACCCTCTACCTAATAGCACCTTCACTGAGAGAAATAAACGTCATTTGCAAAGCACATCCCAACATCAGGGATCAATGCAATGCAAAAAATTTTATGTCTACGAATTAAATGCATCTGTACTAACCTAAACAGAGGTGTTTGCATTTCCCAAGGACCAATGTTTTTCATGCCTGCAGCACCAGTGAAGGAGTCCTGAGCAAGGGAACCTGTCACTGCTTTCTATTTCATACTCTCCCACCCCAGAGCACCCACTACCAGCCCATGTCTGAGCCTCTTATGAGATGTTTTCTTGCAGGAGAAGAAGCTTCAGAGAGTCTGATGAATCTCAGCCCCTTCGACATGAAGAACCTCCTGCATCATATTCTGAGTGGGAAGGAGTTTGGTGTGGAGAGAAGTGGTGAGTGGGTGCTGTGAGGGCTTCATGGGGACCCCACATGCAGATCGATCCCAGGGTCAACAGTTCCCCAAAAGGAAGGGATTGTGCATTTCCTCTTTCAGGGGGATGAACTGGGACATGGGCTCAAGGTTCCTGCTTTTAGGGACAGGGAGCACCCTCACAGGGTTGTATTTCTTTGCTGGTTATAGTCGTATGTGGCTGAGAGAACTGCACACCTTTGTTCCTTGCATCTCCTGTAGCCCTAAGTGTCATGAGGACAGGTGACTCTCAGGCTCAGGGTCACAGGTCTGCCACTACAAACCACTCTTTGTTGTCTGACCTTTGGTTTGTGTCAAAGCTTTTACAGCCAGGTCCTATGTCACCTTCTGGAGAGTAGGAGGAAATGATCTATGACCTGCGGGGGCCAGTTCAATTTCTTCATCCCAGCATTACTCTTTTAGTTTTTATCCATCTTGGAAATCTGCTTGCAGTGCTAAGAAATCTAATCACCCAAGCCCTGGTGTGATTCTTGTTCCCAAATGTTCCCTAATTATAATTGAAGTAATTATCATTTCTCTTCCTCATAAAAAAGCTAAATGATTCGCAGACACATTGGTGAATTTATTTCATCAAGCCAAAGAAACACACTGTGGGCTATCATTCCTTTTATTTAATAAGGACACTGGGTACTTTGTATTTTTCCTGAATGTGTGCCAGCCTCAGACAAAGCTGCATGGGGCAATCAGCTGTCTATTTGCGGGTTTCTCCTTTCTGAGGAAGAATGCTGGAGATCCATACCCAAAGTAATTTACAGTTATTTCAAGTACACAATCCCTGAAATGGAAATGGAACGATAAATATTTCATGTGTCTGCTCATCATAATAGGGTGCATAGTTTGATGGATAATTGTCATTAAATGTAAAGCTATATTAGATGCTTACAACACCAAGAACTGAGGGATGTCATTTGAATGCCATGGCATGTCTAATCATGAGTAAGGACAGAAGATATGCTATCATTTTCAAACAAAGCATTTCTTCATTGTCTTATAACTTGCCTTAGGATTTCTATTGCTGTGAAGAGACACCATGGCCATGGCAAATCTTATAAAGGAAAGCATTTATTTAGGGTGGTGGCTTACAGTTTAGAGGTTCAGTCCATTAACATCATGGCAGGGAGCATGGTGGCATGCATGCAGGCATGGTGCTGGCTACATCTTGATCAGAAGGCAACAGGAAGTGGACTCACACACTGAGCAAAGCTTAAGAATAGGAAATCTCAAAGCGTGACCCCATAGTGTCACACTTCCTCCAACAAAACCACACCTACTAATAGTGCTACTTCTTATGAGTTTATGGGGGCCAGTTACATTCAAACTACCACATAACTGCTTGGTTTTTATAAACTAAGAAGCTAAAATTCTGACTAAATCCCCAAATTACTATTTCCAACACTTTTCCTCAAACACAGTGGAGCTTCTATTTAACATTTCTTTGGCATCACTCCTCCCTCTCGACCCATTGTTGGGTCTGCTTAGTGGCTTCCTCCTTCCCACTGCCCTCCATCTTCTGCCTTCAGCAAGATTCTATAGAAAGTGACCTTTGTGTTGGGACTCCAGAAGGAACAGTGGAATGGAAGAGTATTGTGTGCAGATGCCCACATAGGGCCCCCATCAGGAGGGCTTCCTGTGGCACCAGAAAGTTTGTTTGGGCTTTATCCTGAAGACAAATTTAAACTCAGGAGGATGCCAAGTGAACAGTGATATGATCACATTTGCATTTTGGAATAATCCCTCATGACTGTTTTCTTAGAGACCACCCACACAGAGCAGAGCTGGGGATAGGTATTAAGTCCTGAGGCCGATGGTATATGATGGTATATATGGTATATATGGTGTGGCATTGTGCACTGGGAAGAGCCTCTTTGCCCTCTTCCGTAGCAGCACCGTGTGCCTGGCTTTGGCAACTTTCCGTCTCACCCGGAACTCTCTAGCCAGCTCGATCCTTGCTTCCCTCAAAGGTCTGGGCTGAGATCTTTTCCCAGCCCTGAGTTCTCTCAGTCCTGAATGCTGCTACACATGTGTACCTGCATCGGTTCCCAGACAAGACCTGGTGTGGATACGTCAGCAGTTAGCCACAGCCACAGGAACCTAAGTTGTCAGCCATTTAATTGAGTATACAGCACATTTATCATTGTAGCAGGGACAGTTGGAATTAAAGAGCTTGGCAAGGTCAGTGTGGATCCTACACATTAGTCAAGATGAGCCCTTTAGACCATCACAAACATAATTGGGTGTGTTACTCATTGTAAGATCAAATGTCATACAGTCATTAGACATGTGAGCGAATATGTAAAGCTGTGGATAAACACAAAATAAGGGCAGAGGCAACCAAACTTGTTTACATATTATGTATGGATATATCATGTATATAATAGAAAGCTCATCTTCCTACATATAGGTGATGTTGTATAAGGTAAAAACATGTATCCATAGGGGAAAACTGTCAGGATAATGAGTGAAATGTGAACAGATGTTACTTCTGGCTTCCTTAGGTGGTCTCAGTTTTCCCCAAAGAAAATGTGTTTTGGATAAGTAAAAAATAGTTTTCAAGGCTAATTCAGTCAGCCAACAGTTTTCTGCCACTCTGTTCTGTGCCTGCTGCTTAAGCAGAACTCACATATTGTAGTTTGAATGTAATTGGCCCCCATAAGCTCATAGGGAGTGGCACTATTGAAAGGTGTGACTTTGTTGAATTGGGTGTGGCCTTAGTGAAGGAAGTATGTCACAGAGGGGGCAGGCTTTGAGGTCTCTGACTTGAGCTTGGCTCAGTGTCTTCTGATCAAGATGTAGCCATCACCACATCTGCCTGCATACCACTGTTCTCCCCACTATGATGATGATGGACTGAACCTCGGGAACTGTAAGTGAGCCTCCTCAATTAAATGTTTTCCTTTCTTAAGAGTTGCCATGGTCATGGTGTCTCTTCATAGCAATACAAACCCTAACTAAGACAACACACTTTGACACAGCCCTTCAGGCCTGACTGGGACAGGTAAGGCCTTCCTCGCATCAAGTTTACAGTCAAGTAGGGAAGAGGCACAGACCTCAGGAGCATGTTATCCACAGTGTGTCTCTCAAGGCAGGTGTAGTAGATTCCCTAAAAACCTCATGTGTGTGTTTCCCTTTTCAGTGCGCCCAATTCACTCCTCCACATCCAGCCCTGCCATCTCAATCCATGAGGTGGGTCATACTGGAGTTACCAAAACTGAGAGGAGTGGCATCACCAGACTGAGGAGTGAGATGAAACAGGTGAGAAGGCCTTAGCAGGGCAGCCATAAGGGAGGTGTTAGAGCTCACCTCCAAAAGCCTCAGAAAGACAAGGGCATGAAGCTTTGGCCTGCTTTCTGTACAAGTTGTGGGATCTGAACACAGCCCTATATCCCAGGTAGGTGCCCCAAAGCCATTGACACGCACACCCCTCCCTCCAATGTCTAGCCTCCATGTGGTGTCCCATGTACATCCTAGAATAATCTCTTGTCCGTGTTTAGTTTTGTAGAGGCATAGGGATAGAGATGGATCAAAGCACTGGCTGCTCTCAGACAGGACTGGGTTCAGTTCCTAGCGTCAACATGACAGCTTCTAGCTCGGTGTCTGTGACTCCACTTCTAGAGGATCTGATGCCCTCCCCTGGCCTCTGCAGGCACCAGGCACATAAGCGATACACACATAATAATATAGGCAAATACATCGTAGAATAAAAATAAACTTTTTAAAAGTGGAATCATGTCAAAAGAGACAACCATTTCTTTATCAAATCTGTTCTTCATCTGAAATAGCCAGGAGGATGTGGGAATAGACTAGAATAATCATGATACCTGTATTTCCCACCATCCACAGTTGGGTTTTCTTTGTTCACCATAATCTAACTCACAGTAGAAGTCTTTTGGAGCTGACCCTCACAGGTCTGCAGCTCAACCCCTTAGATGTAACTGATCCTGTCCTAGGACATGGCCATGACCCACCCTGAGGAGATCTGCTCATCCACTAAGTCACACCGCCTCACTGGCTTGGGTCTGTGAGGCAATATAAAGGGCCGGCCTGAGGTGGGACCAGCATGGCCTGGCTTATCAGAGGGCGATGGAAGCAATGGGGTATTTTTCACTAGAAGCAGGCTTTCACTTCCTGATGTTTTTGCTTTCAGATGACTAGGCGAGCTAGTGCTGACGAGCAGGTGAAGTGGCCTGTTTTGTTTGTCCTTCTCTGTGTTAGCTGCATGCTCTGTCTGGCTTGAGCATGGAACGTGAAGCTGCGAATCCGGAGCGTGGTTGTGGGTGCATGGTGAAATGGCACAGTAGCTGAGGCAGGCCAACCCCAGAGACAGAGCAGGATGAGAAGGCAGCAGAGATGACCTTGCCCTGGACCTTTAAAAAATCCATGTAGAGTGGCCAGTGAGAGCCATCATTTACGGTGGCTCATTTTGTTAGAGCATGATAATGCTGATCAAAAGAATTCTATTTCTCAAACTCGGCCTTTGTAAAGATCCTTTGTGAAAGAGATGGGCCAGGCTCTGCTTCCACCCGCATTTCTGTTCCAAAAGAGAGAACTGAAAGTGGAATGTGGTTAGTAATCTCAATAGAAAGAATAAGGAAGAATAGGACGGTGCTGCTAGTTCCTGCCCTTATCCAAGCTGGAAAGAGAAAAAAGTGTCAGCACACCGTATGCATCACCCTATGATGGGCTCCTTCCCTGTAGAAAAAAAATGGGCATTTTTTCATTTATATATTTATTTTTGAGATGGACATCTCCATGCCACCCTGGCTGTCCGCAAACTCCCAGGCTCAGGCGATCCTCGTGCCTCAGCTTCTTGAGGAGGTGGGACTGCAGGTGCACACTACACGTCTGCCTTTGGAGTCTTATTTCTAATGCTTTGATATCTCTAGGCCCAGGAGAAAGGAAGTGTATGATGGCACATAGCACAGATGCATGTTTTCTCAGAGTCTCATTTATGCTCCTTCTAAGGAAGTGATTTTTCCAAACATCTTCCTTTGTCAGCCACTCGGTGGCACCGTCCCTCTGGTTACCCATGGCTCAGAAGGCTGATGATGGGTGAATATGAATGGCTTCTTCCATTTAGTGCTGCCCTTGCCTGTGACTGGATGAAATGATGGCCTTCCTTTCCTGTTGTGCTTATAGTCAGTCAGCCAGTACCAGTTTTGTATTTGGCTACTCGTGTCAAGAAAACATTCTCTGGTCAAAGTTTAACAGGCGTCATGGGGTTGTAATTGTCTAGTCATTTTTGCAAGCATACCACAGACACAGGCCAGTGTGCAAATTAGCTCCTCTTAGATGAGGAAAGATGTATATGGTCAAAGGTCATCAGCTTGCTCCCTTTATGCATTTAACAATAATCTATGGGATACCTGTTGGATGCCAGGTGTTAGTGTCAGTTAGGGGTTCATAGTGCAGCAGAAAGCAAAAGTGTGGCATGGCTGTGGCTTTGGAACATGTGTCCTACTTCGATTAGGCCTGCTCCACAAAGGAAAAGAGCCTGCTAACACTTGCTATCTAGAGGCAAGCTGGGCTGCAAGGGAGACATGGGTCTGCATCTGTCACCGTTGCTCAAGGAGACCCTCTCTAGACTTTGTCTCTGCCTCCAGTCTCTGTGCTGTTCGTGCTGCTCTGTGTTCCTTCACAACTGCTGCTGTCTCTTGGTGTCACTGCACGTGACTGAGTTTATTCTTTTTGTTTTGTAGTTCTTTCCTGTGGGCCAGGCTGTGTCCAACAGTTTGCATTCCTTCAAGTCTGCGGTAAATCTGTGTTGGCATCGCACCCCTCCCTGAGTCCTCCTCCATGTCTGTACTGTCCGAGTTCTCTTGTGGCCTTACCCATGCTCCCCCTTCATCCCCACTTATGTTTACGGGGCGTGTGTGTGTGTGTGTGTGTGTGTGTGTGTGTGTGTGTGTGTGTGTGTGTGTACGTACAAGCTCACATTCAGGTTTGGAGACGGAACTGAGGACCTCACACATTCCAAGCAAACATTTAAGCACTGAGCGTTGTCACGGCCCTCACCCCGGCCTCTGACTGTCTGAGTAAAGGTGAAGGCAGTGGTTCTCAACCTGTGTGTCACAAACCCTTTGGGAGTTCAAACTGTCCTTCCACAGGGGTTGCATATCGGAAACTATCCTGCATACCAGATGTTTACATTATGATTCCTAACAGTAGCAACGAAAATGATTTTATGGTTGGGGGTCACCACAACATGAGGAACTGTGTTCAAGCTTCACAGCATTAGAAAGGTTGATGATGAAGGTACCTTCAACTCTAAGTTTGAGAAAATTCTAGACAAGTTTATATATTCTTTTTTTTTTTTGGTTTTTACGAGACAGGGTTTCTCTGTATTGTTTTGGAGGCTGTCAGACCAGCCCGGCCTCGAAATCACAGAGATCCGCCTGCCTCTGCCTCCCGAGTGCTGGGATTAAAGGCGTGCGCCACCACCACCCGGCAAGTTTATATATTCTTGAGCTGAACTTTTTTTTCCATCTCATGCTCTGAGATCTTGGCTTGTGAAACTTCTCAATACAGTGTGGTAAGGCATGCTCACCTTGCCAACTCCCAGGGGTTTCTTGGGTCTTCAAAACTCTGGTTCTATGGCTGTTACATGTTTGTTTTGCAGTGCCGAGGACAGAACTTAAGGACCTGAGCGTACTAGGCACTCCACCACTGACCCACATCCCAGCCCTCCTGCCTTTTTATTGAGTGTTGAGCTGCTGCCCCCAGGCTAGCTAGCACTTTCTACTCTCCTGCCCCAGCTGAGCATGTGGAGCTCGCTCAAGTGGAGGCCCAGGAAATGTTCTAATTGCAGAGGCGAGTCTGAATCTGCCTCCCAAAACCCAAAGGAGAAAATCAGCTGAGTCATTGATGAGTGTGGCTGTAATTACTTTTATTTGTAGCTAATTGTTGCCTTATTTAAATGGCAGTAATGAGCCCAGCAGAATAACCCAGCCTAACTAACTCCCTTTTCAAAATAAGATCTGTTGAAGTCAAAATGAGTTCTGAGAGAAGAATCCCACCTCCTGCCCTGCTGGTGTGCTTAATATTTGGTTTTTATTTTTAAACCTTTAAATTTGATGTTGCACATTGAGAAACAAAAGTACCAAACAGTCCAAACAAAAATGTATGCAAAGATGTGCATTAGCCTTGGTCCAACCTGAGGAATCTCTCCAAGGCAAGTCGGAGGGAACTTCCACACCTGATCTCCGCCTGTCGGAAGTCGCTCCAACCTGTCCCCAGTGGTCAGCAGCCCTTCAGCACTTCCCTTGCAGAATGCAGTCTCCACAAGGAAACAGAATGATGTCACCCTCTAACCCTGCTCTGCAGGCCCAAACTTAAGGCCATCTTAGATGGAAACTTAGGACCAAGAGCAGGACAGCAGAAATGAGGATTGAAAAGCAGAGATAGAGACCCAAAACCCAAGGAATGCTAAGCAGAGATTCCTAATTGACTTTCTGTCTTCGCTTCCTGATCCTTCCTCTGTCTGTCTGTCTGTCTGTCTGTCTGTCTGTCTGTCTGTCTCTCTCTCTGTCTCTCTCTCTCTCTCTCTCTGTGTGTGTGTGTGTGTGTGTGTGTGTGTGTGTATGTGTGTGTGTGTGATTCTCTGTAGTATTCGTCCTAGGGGGAGGTGATGATCACTTCTCTGTGGCACTGCTGAAGTGAACCAGGCCCTTGGGTATTTGTCGCCACCCCCAGGCTGTCTCTCCTTCCCACCCAGCTCATCCTCTCTGAGACCACTTCTCCAAGTACTCTTGTGGCATGCTTCCCTTAAATAGACTTTGCATGACTGGCCGTGAACTCTGAGGGATTGGCCTTCTGGGTGACAGCTGCCCCCTGAGCATTCATCACAAGCAACAAAGACTCTCGGGGGTCTTCACTGAGTGAGTGGCAGCAGACAGCTCTCTGAGAGATATTATGTCCCCAGCATGTAGATCACTTGGTGGTGCTAGCAATAGGGGCACAGGCAGCCTCCACCCAGGTGCTGTCACAGCTGCTCTTGAGCTTAGCAATGACAGCCTGATGGCAGAGCCCGCACCTGGATCTGTTTGGCCTCTGTCCTGTGAGCTCAGGGTCCCCTGGCGTTATGCTACTTCTTAGGACCTGGGAAGAGCTAAGCTACCAAAGCAGAGCATGGGAACCTAAATCCAACATCAAGTAGCCAACAAAGTGGAGTCCAGGATCCCTGTGCCCCTGGCTGGGTGACATGTGCAGGGAGATTCTGGCTGGTTTGCTGAACGGACCTTCAAGGTGACCAGCTTTTCTATGTGGGCACCTGCTTCTGAAGGCCAAATGGTATCTGTCTTACAGAGGTCCAGCACCCCATCATCCCCAACGGGCACATCATCTACAGACTCCGGAGGACACCACATGGGTTGGGGGGAGCAGCAGGGCCAGTGGCTGCGCAGGAGAAGGCTAGATGGGGCCATCAACAGGGTCCCCGTGGGATTCTACCAGAGAGTGTGGAAGATCCTTCAGAAGGTGAGTGGGTGCTGAGGAGACACAGACTCAGGGGAAATGGACCAGACTCTAGCTGCCTTCAGGAAGCATAATGGCCATGCCAGGTAGCAAGAAGCAGATGACTCTAGAACATGCAGCCCCAACCTTGAATGGCTGAGTCTAGAGCAAGGTCTCTCTGCCTTGGCACTGTGGCATCTAAAGCTAGGTAACTCTGCTATGGTACTGTCTTGGGCACTGTCACGTAGAAAGCAGTGTCACTCAGTAGCATCTCCTCTCTCAGACATGGTGCCAAAAGTAGCTTCAGACATTGTCAAATGGCCCTGCAAGGCACAACAAAATAGCAGCCCTGGTTGTGTTCAACCCTTTGACATAGTTTAGGATCATGGAAAACTAAAGATAGACAACAAGCAGAGAGGGCAGCAAAGACTTTGAACAAAAATTGATGCCATAGAGAAATTAACTCTGGGTCTGGCTTGAGGCTGACAAGCATGGCACCCATATCATTCAATAATGTGATAGAGCTCCTGCTCCCTGCTAGGTCTTGGGGGTACAGAGTCAAGATTCTAGCCTCACCCCAGGAGCCATGTGCCCTGAAGGCATACTCTCCCTCCTGCGCTGGGCTACCCCTGTTTCCATGACTGGACAGTAGAGCCCCCAGAGCTCCCACCCCTTAGCTAACTGACACTGTTCCTGTGACAGTGCGAGGGCTGTGCTTCCCATCTGCCTGGGGGCTGTTAAATTTCATCCGAGTTTGTAGGTTGAAGCTGACAGGAAGTGACGCATCCACAGACCACACTGCACCATACACACACACCTGAATGCAGGAGGGCCTGCCTTAGAAACACCTGCTGCCAAAGTGGGGGTGGTGTGCGAAGACAGGGCCACTTTGTTCTCTACACCCCACAGCCCGCCTTCTCCCACATTCATACTCCCAAGGCCCCACCAGAGCTTACCCTGCCTCCCCCTTGGAGGGACAGTATGCCTCATTTAAAAGCTTTGCAAAGCAAGACGAATTTCCTTTTGCTCTGAACTGTTCCTTTTTAGCCTGTTTCACAGTAGGAGAGGAGAGGACTGCTATAATCCCAAAGGGGAACATATTCTAGGTCCTTTGTGAAGTCATAACCCACCGTCTTCTTTCTGCAGCAAGTGCCCAGGGCCAGTCACAGAGCTTCGGGGGCTATGCTCTGTCACCCTGAGGCCTTGCTCAAGACAGGTGCCAAGCTGGGTAGGAGGGCAGAGCAGGCATGCCCTCTGAGCCTGCAGAGACCCTGCGTCTACCCTTCTAGATTTTAGTGGGGAGCCCTCAGGCTGGCCTGAAGGCAGGGAAGCTGTTGCTAACTGCAGGGCAAAAGGTGGCCAGTTAGACAAGCCTCAGCTGTTCCTCGAAAATCTCCTCAGTCTTCCTGGGGTACCATACACTTCCGGCTAGACTTCTATTGGCCCAATACCAATATGCTTTTATTATGAAAAAGCGGCATTTTGTATTGCGTCCCATTGGTATTTATATACATGGGTGTGCGTGTGTGTGCATGTGCTCCAGCCTTTTGTGATTGGTGCTTATTATAGAAATCTCGAAAATAGATGGCTGCAAAGGCTCAGGAGCATAACTTCACCAATGGGAGCCATGAAAATCGCCCTTCATTATGGCACCAAAGGAGGCCTGGCAGGCCCCCGGGCCCAGTTGCCAAGTGCAATGCAGAGCCTCTTGGGAGAAGAACGCAGCAGCTCCCTAGGACATTGTTCCTACACCGATCTGAAAGATGCCTGCTGGTTTCCCCAGAATTGTTCCATCGAAAACACAGCCTGTGGGCAGTGAGAACAGAGCTCTAAAAATAACTCTGACAGTCTGGCATGTTCCAGCCCTCGTGTAGATTTCCAAGGCAAGGAAAGTTGTGTGTGCACGTGTGAGTGTGTGAGCAAGCACACACCTGTAGTGTTCTGGAATCTGACTGAAGTGTCTGTTCTGGTTCTAGTGCCATGGTCTGTCCATCGATGGCTATGTCCTTCCATCCTCCACAACCCAAGAGGTAGGGTGACAAAACCCAAATACCAGTCCCTCCATGGCTTTGCCTCATGGCTGATTCTTGTTCCTCTCAAGTTTGTTCTGTGTAGACAGGTCATCTGTAGGTCTGATCACTTTAACCATCTCCCCATCTCGGAAATTCCATTTCTAGTATACTACCTGGACCCTTAAGACTCCATGCAAACTCTATCCCCTACACAATAGACACATGCAGGGGCCACTTTATCCACAAGCAGTCTTTCCTGTGCTGTATTTGCCCTCCATGCATTCTGGGGTATCTTTAGCCTTCCGAGTAGGAAGCACCACACCTGGTACCTCCAAGCATTCTTTTAAAAAGAGATTTTGTTTTGTTTTTACCCTGCCCAAGGTACCAGGCTTTATGCCACAGGGAATTTCTCTTCTTTTTAAGAGAAAGAAATAAGGAATGGTCCCTGCTCCCTGGAAGTTACAATACAGTAGGTAGACAAAAGGAACTAGAACAATGCTCGCTGGCTCTCAGGGAAAAGCAGTCAGCATCTGCTCCAGGGGGCCCCTGCTATAGTCAAGACAGTCTCCAGGAGGAAGGCAGCTTTTGAGCTAAGCTCTGGTAGTGCTAAGGGCAGCATTGACAACAGGGCTCTGTTTGTCCCAAATCTTACTCTGGAAACCTGTGGATCCCTTTGGTAGATGACCCCATGTGAGATCAAGTTTGCTGTCCATGTGGAATCAGTGCTCAACCGTGTGTCCCAGCCCGAGTATCGGCAGCTGCTGGTGGAAGCCATCATGGTACTGACAATGCTCTCAGATACAGAGATGGACAATATCGGGGGCATCATCCATGTGGACCAGATTGTGCAGCTGGCCAATCAGCTGTTTTTGCAGGATCAGGTGGGTTTGACTAGGCCACCCACTCATCCCACTGCCCAAGCAGGGTAGTCAATTTGGTTGCCATTTATGCCTATTGATGCTGGGGATTGTGTCCAATTTGGAGACATATATCCAAACCAGGAAGATGCCATCACAGATGGTGAACAAATGTCAACTATTTGGTTAGGAAATGGCAAAGTGGCCACTTGGGAAATCTAACAACCTTTGGGGAATCTGGTCTGTTAGTGTAGGTTTCATACACTACACTTGCTGCATGCCTGGCTCTTGGTAAGCTATTTACCCTGTATACAAAATTGAGTCAGGCAAAGAAGCTGTCCTCTCGAAGAATCAATGCTCAGCAACCAAAGGAGGACTCTGAGGACACAGCATTCACAACAGAGGCAGAACATTACCACTGCCATCATCTCCCCTGCCTCGTGGCACTGACTTCCTGCAGTGAGGCCTACCCTCCAGCTCTCAGCCCCACCCACCTCCCAGCCCCACCCATCTGGAATCCAGCAGACCGCCTCCAACATACAGAATGCGGTATGAAAAAAAGAGGTAGATTCCACTCATTTTTTCCCTGCTTTTTCTGGCTGCAGGTGTCATTTGGAGCCACAGACATCCTGGAGAAAGACCAAGCCACAGGAATTTGCCACTTCTTTTATGACAGTGCTCCTAGTGGGGCTTATGGTACAATGACCTACCTAACAAAAGCAGTGGCTTCTCATTTGCAGGAATTGCTGCCTAGTTCAGGCTGCCAGATGCAGTAAGGCCTTACCCATAAACATAGTTACCCTCTGAATATGTCACTTGCCTCATTGGGAATTTTCTTCTGCCTTTCCCCAAAGCATACCCCATCAGAAGACTTCACAGGGAGATGACAGCACTCTAGCTGGAAGCGATGTGTGTTTAAGCCACAGATAAAGCTGATGAATCCCCCGCTCCCCTGAGAAGCACCCTGGGATCATTTTCTAGGTTCATTTCACTGGGACATTTGTCACAGCATCTGGTCTCATGGACTCCGAAAAGGAACTGGAAATTGGTCTCTTCTGAGTGCAGAGTGAGCTGAGAAGCCAGCTTAAATTGGCTCTCACCAAGAGTTACAGAAATAGGTTCGATGAGCTAGTGACACATCTTGAAGGTGGAAAGATCCTTCCAGCAACAATAGCTAGACAAGCAGACCTTGACAAAGGAACATCTTAACAGAATGCAGCCTGTCTGAGAACCAAACTGTTTACCAAACAGAATAATTCTGTCTGCTTTGGAAATTTTACCTAACCTCTCACTCTGTTCAGGTCCTGTAATTCTTCATTGCCCAAATGAACTAAATTGGCCCTAGTTAATGTTAGCTCATAGTCTTCAGAAGAGCTTGTCCTGGCTGTCCACAAATTACAGGAGTCTCCTCCCGCCTTAGGAAAATCCCTTATCTTCCAGAATCCATACAAAACAACCAAAAAGGAAAGTGAGGCTGTGACTCTTCTGATAGGCACACAGTTGTTTTAGGATTGGAACAGGCAGGGGTCCAGTGGAAGGAAAGGCCTGTCTGTGTCCCTGCACCCAGAGAGCACTGTCATGCATGCTCCAAGCGTGAGTCAGCATTTGCTATGGAAATTAGTGGTGTGTTCCTGTAGAAACAATACTCCCTTAAAAATAGCCTGGGAGCCAGAACCATTTTCTACAGAAGCCCTCCCTCTTGGATGGGTATGGTCAGGCACTATGGCAGAGAAGGCCGAGTCCTGACAAGGTCTGGCAAGTCCTTCGCCATTGTCCCGGTGAATGGAGTTTCTTTTTAAACCTGGTCTTCCCCATGTTGGGACAGGGATAAAGAATTGAAAGAGTAATTTCTGTGAAGGACAAAGTCAACTTGTGGCCAAGTGCTACATTGCCATCTGGTTGTGATAGGTTCCGATTCCCAGTGAGTCTTCACCTCTGAAATGGAAACCAGTCTGTTGGATCAGCTTCTCAGAGTTTGCGTGAAGAGAAGGGAAGATGGTGCTCGGAGGTGCACAGTATCCTTCAGAGTGGAGATGCAGGACTGACTTCACTTTATTCTCGCATCGGACGGCGGCAGGCTGCCCTGCTCTCCCTTACCACTTGTAGGCAGCTCTAAAAAATGTGTTTATCTGTTTGTGTGTGAGAGTGTCTGTGTGAGTGTCTGCCACCTATGTGGGAGTGCCTGCAGAGGCCAGAAGACAGCATCAGATCCCCAAGAGCTGGAGCTACTGGCAGTTGTGAACCACCCTGACTTAGGACTGGGAACCAAACTCAGGTCCTCCGGAAGAGCAGCAAGCACTCTTACCTGCTGAGCCATCTCTCCTGCCCTCTTATATCTTTAAGACATTTTCAACATAAACCAGAGTCAGAGTCATGTAATTCATTGACTGACAGAGATTCCCTGGTAGATCATTTCAAACATAAAGTAAGAAAGAGATAAGGCGTGAGAGTGCCCAGTGCTGCATGGGAGAAGTTCTAGAAGTAGAGCCCTTCAGACTGGGCCTGGTGCTAATCCCGAACACTCTTAGTTTGCCAGTAATGTGACTGTGACGTGAGAAGTGGCACCTGCTGGGTTGCACTCAAGATGAGACTCTGGCCAAGGAGATGAGCCACAATAAGCAATTCACTGCAGCTTCCCAGCCGCTCTCTGAAATCTCTTTCAAATGAAGTCCTGAAATAGGACTGCATTTCCACAGGCAGCAAGCTGCCAGCTTCAAGGGAGGAGAGCAGGCTTCCGAGATGATCCCTTTAGGAAGCAGCCGATGCCATGCCCGAAAGGGACAGATGTTTGAGAGGATGATGACAGTCCCGTCCTGACAGTACCTTGCCTGGAGGTACTGACTCTCATAGCCCCTGTGGCCTCTGTCTTGGCTGGCTGTTCCCCAACTCCCAGGAGCATGGCAGGGAGCCCCTTTCCTCCCAAAGCTGACAAGCCAGTTTTTCACCTTGCAGGGGATTAGAATGTGGTCTCAGAGGACACATCAGTGAATGCAAGAGTTAATATTTAACATAGCAAATTGAAAGGCTATAGGCTGCCCTGTATCTGCTTGCCCCAGTTTTACAAAAGGAAAGCTCTCTTCCCGGGCACTGACGCCAGTACTTGATCATGGGTAAAGGAGTTGACCTTTGTGTGCCTTAGTTTACCCATCTGCAAAAAAAGTAAGAGACTTCCTGGCTGGTAGAGAACCTTCCTTTGGCAGATAGGTGACCAGGTATACCCTAGGACAACACCAATCCATCTGAAGTGAAGGTAGACTGTGTCATGTCTAGTGACTCAGGGCAGGGATGTATGTGAAGATCTTCCAGGTTAGTCTACCCTGCTTCTCAGGCATAGGAAAGTGTGGTTGCTAGGCCTCAGCTTCCTAGATAGGAAGAATGCAAATGTTCCTTGTAGAACAAAAAGGAGAGCCCACCAGTCAAGAGAAACACGTTGCCAGTTGATTGAGGCCATTTACTTCAGGACAAGACGACAGGAGGTTTGGCCTCTATAAATTGCAGTGGAGTCATCTCTCTATTCTATTGATTTGTACACAAGTCCAACAAGTCACCTTTGACTTTTCTGCTTCCTTGTTAAAGGGGACAACAGTCTCCCATCTCTCCCTATGTACTATTCTCTTTCAAGTTGATTCCAGCTTTTGAAGTCCCTGCCATCTCCAGCTCTGTTCTTTGCAGGATGGAAGAACATCATGTTCCCTGAATGCCTTCCGTTCTCCCAGACATGGCCATTGAATAGTTCTGCTTGTGAAGAAAAAAGCAGCACTTTGTCCTCTCAGAGCCCAGTCCCCCCTTGTCTCTCTCCATCAGAAAACCACTTAGAAAAAGCCATAACCTTGAGTTACTGAGGGAATTCTCAGAGGAATAAGAAGATGGGTTACTAAGACTAGCTTCCAGTCTTATGCTGTGTCCTGATTGATGGCAAGGGAAAATTCCATCAGAAAACTATTTCTAAGAGAATATGTGCATGTGCATTCTTAAGGGATTATAATGCCTTCTTAGAGGGACTGGAATCAATAGACCAATGAACTCTGAACTTGTGTGACTTTTCCTTTGCCTTACTGCAGTACATAACTGTTCTGAAAAATGAACAAATGAATCCGAAGGCATTTACAGCATGCCTGTCATGGGCAGGCATCACTAACTAAGCACATAAAAACTTGGGCATGCACAGTGGCAGATAACGAGCAGCCCGCTCATTTCTGAAGCCCTCGGAGGAAGGGACATTGACCAGACTGCTGATCCTAGAGTTATTCATGCTGATCTGTTGACATTCACATCTCCATTCTAAATCTGGTGGCTGCTGAAGCCTTCTACCTCCAGCTAGTGCAGCTGGGTTTACAAAGCACAGGGCTTTGGGTTGACCACGCTGCATCTTCATTGGGCACTAGGGATAGCTGCTTCTGTAACTCCTCTTTTTTTTTTTTTGTTTAGTCCATTCCATAGCCACCCCTTTTTTCCTCAATATATGTTTTTATTTAAATTAGAAACATGCATGCTTCACATGTCAATCCCAGCTCCCTCTCCCACCCCTCCTCCCTTGTCCCTCCACCAGCCTCCCCAGCCCCCCCACGCAATCCCCGTATTGTTCCCCAAGGAGGGTGAGGCCCTCCTTGGGGGGGATCTCCAAAGTCTGTCATTTCATCCAGGGCAGGACCTAGGCCCTTCCCCACATGTCCAGGCTGAGAGAGCATCCCTCTATTTGGAATGGGCTCCCAAAGATCATCCATACACCATGGTGAACACTGATCTACTTACTACCCAAGGGCCCAGTGATTTCTGTGGCCTCCTCACTGACACTACATTCATGGAGTCTCGATCAGTCCCCTGTTGGCCTCTCAGCCATCCGTCTGGGATTCAAGAGCTCCCCCTTATCTGGTCAGCTGTCTTTGTGGGTTTCACCATCATGGTCTTGACCCCTTTGCTCATCACTCCTCCATCTCTGTCATAGGTTCCAGGAGTTCAGTGTTTAGCTGTGGGTATCTGTCTCTGCTTCCATCAGTCCCTGGATGAAGGTTCTTGGATGGCATATAAGGTAGTCATCAACCCTATCATCAAGGAGGGGCTATTAGTGTAATCTCTCCACTATTTCTTAGTTTGCCAGTTGGTGTCATCCTTGTAGATCTCTGGAAATCTCACTAGTGTCAGCTCTCTCCTCAAGCCTATAATGACTTGATCTATTATGGTATCTCTCATCCTGCTCTCCTCTATTCTTACCTCGACTCAACCTTCCTGGTCCCCCATGCCTTCTTCACCCCTCCTCTTCTCCCCCTCTCTTTTTCCTGGAGGCAAGATCTCCTGAGCAGATTGGGAACATCAGGGGAGGGGAGAGAGAACCATAGCCCCCTTTTTAAGTGTGTGTGCAGTGTAGAAGTGTGCGCCTGTGCACACTTAGAAGCTAGAGGAAGACATTGAGTGTCCCCTATCACTCTCCTCATCATTCCCTTGAAGCAGGGTCCTTGGGTCTGGCGATAAACTGGAAACTAGCAAGCCTCTGGTCTCTACTTTCCCACATGCCCCACTGTGTGGATATGCATCCAAGTATACATATGATGCTAAAGCTAGAGGCACGTGTGTGGCTGTACCTGACCTTTAGGAGTTTGGAGGTTTAAACTCCGGTCCTTCTTGCAAGCAACCACTCTTATGTGCTGAGCCCCAGCCCCAGGATCATCTCAACTACACATTCATGATGGATTTGCCAAGGAGAAATGCCAGTAGCTGACTCTCGGCTCTCATGACTCTGGTGTCACTTTTGGCCAAATGTCTTAGTTCTTATTTGTAAATACAAAAGATATTCCATAAAGAAGATTGGCTAAGTCACATATCACCAGAACCAAGTCTCCCAATTGCTCCTAGGCTTACAGATGCCACTGATGCAGGATACTGCCACAAAGGTCAAGTGTGCCACCTCTACCTTTCTGGAAACTGAATGTAGGCACTGCCACCTGTCATCAGCATGGACTGCAAACAGCCACAAGCTGCCAGTATAAGACCTTGGGCAGGAATGCAGTACCAGCTGGTGGAAGAGGCCATTAGCTGGGAATCTGCCTTCTACAGTTGAGGCAGATTCAACCTTACAGCGTAGGGATAATGAATAGGGTTGAGGCCAGCCATCAAATGTCATTCCAGTCACAGATCTAATTTTTGTTCTTTGTCCAGAAAAGAAGGACCTGTGTCCCCCACCCACCCCAAGTGTCTGAGCCAGACAACTGGCTGTGGACATCGTGTGGCAAGAATGAAGAGAGCACATGGGGATATCACCCCTGGCTAGAAGCCAGACAGTTGTATATTTGTTCTCTTGGAAGTGCAGCTGCTGAGCCACAGTTGTTAGGTCATCACTGGTACCCAGGGGTGGACAGCCTCCCCATCACCACCACATAGTCCTCAGCTCCCAGTGAGCTGTCATAAATCAATCCAGCAAAGCTTGGGGGAGTTGCTGATGGGCCACACATTCTTTATGACCACAATTCCAGCCCCATTAGGCTCTCTGGACCCTGAGTGACAGCCCATCTGGAATAAGATGCAAATGATTGTCACATCTTTCCTTCTAAGCCCCTCACCAGCTGGGGGATTTAAAAATAAAGAATTGGAACAGAATCATAGTATAAGCCTCTCTCCTGACAGTGTGAATAATTTTCCCCAGCTGTCACCAGGACCGGCTCCTGCATTCTTGTGAACTTGGGAGGCCCTCCCCTTGGCTAGAGGGAGGCACAGCTATCTAGAGGAGGCCTCCCCCTCCCCCAGCTCCCTCTCCTTGTCTGGAACGGCAGGCACAAGCTCCCTACATTTCTTTCTTCATTAAGCACAAGCTTTGAGCTCCAGTGCAGGCTGCCTGGGAGGCTGGCAGCGGGCACTACGTCGGGAGGAGCCCTCTGTGTAGCAGTTGAAGTAGCTGCACTGAGTGGACCCTGTGACCCAGAAGGATTGGGCTCTTGTGGCCTGATTCCATTCTGCCCAGGGCCTGGGACTCATGAAAGACCTGCTGTACACAGCGGGGAGGGTGGCACCAGCTGGCCATCAGCTTGGTCCTGCCAGCATGCTGGTGCCAAGATAGATGGGCCAGGGTTTAGAGGCCCCATGTCTAGTAAGGAGACAAACTAGTCACCAGCATGACAGCACTCAGATGAGGGGGTCAGAAGGAGTCTGTTTGCCTGGGCACTCCATCAGTGCTGCCTCGTCAGTGCAAACAATGTTAGAACTGCAAGGTGTGAGTCTGAACAACTGAAGAAACAGGAACAGATGCTGCAAGGCAGTCTGGTAGCTGCCGGCTCTAGGCCAAGGAACTGCACAGGTTTCTGGGGGTGGAGCACAGCCTACATCCTCCGTCGCTCACTGCCAGGCATCCCACTCCTGGGCACATGCCAGGGCAGCCATGTTTGCTTAGCAACGCATGAGGGTAAGGGAGCCAGTGGCACTGCAGGAGGAGTGCATGGTATCATGCATGCTGCTTCCTCCGAACCCTCCCTGTGTGAGGGGTGCAACCCCCTGCATGACGATTACTAAAGCACCTGCAGTAAGATGGGGACCCTGGAGCCACAGCTGCTTAATGTCTGTCAAAGCACAGTGCTCTACAGATAGTACAGCTGGGTGAGGCCAGGCTGTAAGGACTCCAGCATTATGCTGGCTTGCCCCTGTCACCTGGGAGAATGCACTCAGGCAGTACCATGGTCAGCCCAGGATTCCTTGGCTGCACAGTCTGCACATAGGTGCAAAGGACCCCTTTAAAAAGAAAGACCCCGCCCACTCACGCCCTCTTTCCCACTCCTCTCTTTCCAGCTGTTCTCCTGGGGCAGACAGGACTTTTCTTGTGTCCCTCCTATCTCCAACGCCTCCTCCGTCTCTATGTCTCTTCTCCCCCCCCTTCCTTTTCTTTTAAAACGTCTCACTAAGCTCTGTCTGCCTAGCATATTTGTCCCTCCACCTCAGTCACCCTAGCCTGCCATGGAATCTGCCAAGGTCCCCCTCGTGCATTATCATAACACAGGCCATCTCTGTCTCCTGTCGTTGACCAAGGGGGTGAGAGCCAACCCCAGCTCCTCCCTCTCCCCACCCTTGGCAATGAAGGAATGAGTAATTAGATGTGTCGGGGTGAGATGAGATGAGCCATGGACAAGAATAAAGCAGAGAGGTGCAGGGGCGGGGCCTGTGGTGTGGAAGGATTGCATAGGAGGCAAAACTGAGCCAGGCAATGGATGGGGAGGAGTGTAAGAGTGAGCAACCTGTGCAAAGGTCCTGAGGCAGAAGAACACCTAAAATGTTCAAGGAATCCAGGGGTAGGGGAGCATCTACTCTGCTTTTTGTCTCAAGTCACTGGGGAGTTTTGAGTACAGGCCTGACATAAATGCTTCTCTGGGAGACTTGCTTTAAAGAGAATCTGAGCAATGAGGCTATCTAGAGACAAAAGGGGAGAATAAGGAAGGGGCAAGTGCCCAGAGTGGCTGAAACTTGCACCAGGTTCGACAGATACCCACCGTTTCTAGGAGCAGTCGCTCTGGCTCTGCTGCTGTGTTGGGTAAGACTCTGGCAGCTAGAAATGGCAGAGTAAAGAGAGTGGAGCGCTCTCTCTATGCTTCAACCATCCTTCCTGCTCAGGCCTACAGGCCGCAGTGCTCTTTAGAAGCTTTCCAAGCAAGCCTAGCTGTAATGTCCACACATGCATGGGCACATACTAATGCCTAGTCTATGCATCTCGGGTGGGGCTGTAGTTGCTATGCAGTCAAAGCAGCAAAGGAGACGGGCTGGGAACCAACCCTGGGGACCCGTAAACTTCCGCTCCTACCTGCCCTTTCAAGATGTTTCCCTGTCACCCACCTGATGGACTTGAGACCTCTGATGTCTCCATGCAGCTGAGTGCCCTTCAAGTCAGGAGGCATGAGTCACAGACTTTGGCCTGAGGTCTTTGCTTTCTGCAAGTTGCTCAAACTCTGCTTCCCATGCACTTGAAATACATGTGCTGGACTGAGTTTTCAATTTGACTCAACCCCTTCCCCCCCAAAAAAGTCATAATCAGAAAAACAAGAGAAAGCAAGAAAGAAA